TTCTTGGGTGCATCGTTGGTAAGAACGGTGTACGTCCTGATCCCGAAAAGATCAAGGCGATCACCGACTGGCCCGTGCCGGTCGATGTCAAAGGTCTTCGAAAATTCCTTGGGCTAGCGGCGTATTTGCATAAGTATTCACGCAATTACGCCGAGATGACTGTACACCTCTCTCGTTTGTTGAAAAAGAACGAGAGGTGGTTATGGAACGCTGAATGTCAACGCTCCTTTGAGGGTATCAAGCAGAGCTTGATACAATCCCCAGTCCTAGCAATAGCCGATCAGGACAGGCCATTTCATGTGGTCTGTGATGCCAGCGATTTCGCAATCGGCTGTGCATTAATGCAGTACGACCTTGAAGGCGTTGAACGCGTCGTCTGCTATCAGTCGCGTCAGCTGCAACCAGCTGAGCGGAACTATCCAGTGCATGACAAGGAACTCCTTGCCATGAAGTATGCACTCGCGAAGTTCAGAGTCTATCTATTAGGAGATAGACCCTTCGTTGTTTACACTGACCATGCGTCCTTACGCACGGCAGTGAACAGCCCGCACCTTTCACAACGAATGGCGCGGTGGTTGTCATTCTTTGCAGAATACAACTTTACGGTCGAGTACAAACCAGGACGACTTAATGTCGTCGCTGATGCACTCTCACGTCGTCCCGACTTTGAAACAGTCGCGAAACCCAACAGTGAGACAGTCACTGTTGCGGTTATGACGTCCTCAGTTCCATCTACAACGTTGTATGATGATGTGAGGCGGGCATACGCCCAAGATGGTGAGATAGTGAAGTTGTTGTCACATCTCTCCCAACCATCTCGAGAATCGTTGAAACGATTGTCGTCTGCGTATCGATCTGCATCAGATCGATACACTACTCGTAACGGTTTACTGTACTATACAGCCGTTTCTGGTGACACACCACGTGTTGTCATTCCAGATGATATTGATCTGCGTTTGCGGATCATGTTCGAGTATCACGATGCTCCTATAGGAGGACATCGTGGCCGAGAGAAAACATATCTCACGGTAAGTCGAGACTTTTACTGGCCCCGCCAGTATCAGTTTGTGCGAAAGTATGTTCGCGCATGCGAAGTCTGCCAACGAGTGAAGTCAAGTCCTTCACTGCGTGCACCTTTACAGCCTCTACCGGTTCCGGCTGAGTGCTGGGAATCCATCTCAATGGATTTCGTCTTCGGGTTACCCAAAGACGCACGCGGGAATACGGGTATTCTCGTATTTGTTGACAGATTCAGCAAAATGGTACACCTTGTGGCTGTACCAGAGACAATCACGGCAAGTGGCTGTGCTTGTGTCTTTATTGACACCATCTTCCGACTTCATGGGTTGCCCCGTGAACTCGTATCAGACAGAGATCCACGATTCACTGCTGATTTCTGGCGTTCCGTGTTCAAATCACTCGGAACGCGCTTGAAGATGTCAACATCTGATCATCCAGAGTCAGATGGTCAGACGGAACGTGCCAATCGTGTCCTTGAAGAGATAATTCGAGGATACGTACACTCCTTTAAGAGTTGGAGTGAGTTTTTGCCGATGGTAGAGTTTGCCATCAACAACTCGGTGCATGCGTCGACGACACATACACCGTTTTACGTGAATGGCTTGCGCCATCCGCGTGTACCCACCTTACTAGAGTGTAACTCTGGTTTAAGGGGGGAGGGACTCGCGCGAGCAAAAAACGATTTGGTTCACGCTCATCACGCTCTGACGAAGAAGTCATTGCGTTTGATGCCGATATCGATAACATCGATATCGAAGAAGATGATGCCAGTGAGAGTGCGGAAGCCCTCACTGAAGACAATGATCCCAGTGAGAGTGCGGAAGCCCTCACTGAAGAAAAGGTTGTTGTCGCTGCAGTGCGCTCACAGCACACTGAAGCTAACGAGTCATCAGATGAGTTCATACTGGCTCGTGAAACGGTAGTCCGTTTTGTGCAAGACTCCATCGCCGAAGCGGTGGATAAGCAAAAGCAAAACGCTGACAAGAATGGAAGGGCAAACACTCTTTTATTTAATAAAGGTGACTTAGTCCTACTGTCTACGGTTAATCTACCAAAGCATGTAGTGACTAACTTGGGTAGCAGTAAACTACTACCCAAGTACATTGGCCCATTTCGTGTATTGCACCGCCTAGGCAATGCATACACGATCGAGTTACCACGTAAGATGCGAACGCATCCCACGTTTTACGTTGGTCGGCTTAAGCCGTGCCATCAGTACGCTGCTTCTTCCGATGAAGAACGCCCTTGCGCTCAAGCATCTCGCAGAGAGCCTTGTGCTCCCGATGGTGGGCATCAACAAGGGTCTGAAGAGCAGTTATCTCAGCCCGAGACCGATCAACAATCCCACGAGCTACCCTTAGCTCGTCACGAAGAGATGTCAGAGATCTCTCGTTCTCAAGCTGAGCAAAGGCAAACTCAGCTCGATGCTTCGAGGCAGTGTCCACCATCTGGAGACGCCTATTCCGCTCATGCTCGAGATCGTCGCGTAACCCTTGCGTTACGCGATCAAAGAAGCTCTCGGGAACACACCGATACACATGATCGTGTGGAGAGCGTCTTTCCTCCTCCTCCACCTCCATTAGAGGACTCTCGCGGTGGCCAGCGCTATCTAGTTGAGCAGCTGTTGAACCACCGCGACGTGAACGGACGTCGGACGAGTTACCTCGTCCGGTGGCGCGGCTATCCCCCGTCCTGGGATTCTTGGGAGCCCCGCTCCCAATTGATGGTTGACGTACTGGGTCTGGTCGAGCAGTACGACGCGACACATCCTGTGCCGCAGAAGGACCGCCGGAGAAAGTCTTCCCGGCACGGTAGTAAAGGGATTTCAGGTTGTCAATCCCTTCGTACATCTCAGTAGAGACACGTACGCGCCACCACGGGCTGGTAAGGAGGTAAGCCTCCTTAGGTGCTCGTGCAGAGTTGTTCACACAACATGGGCACGAGTCTCCCCAAGAGAGGCAGGGTAATCCTTTCTCCCTTGACAGACGATGCAGCTTGTAGCGTGCACCTGTCGGGGTTCGCTTTTCAAACTTATCACGAGCTTTGATAAGTTTGTCGTTCCAAGCGTCACGACCTACATCCTCGAGATTATGGATGTAGGCGTTCCACGCCTGAAGTAGTGAGGGACCATCACGTTTGTGATTCCCACTGTACCATCGATGTCTGAAGAAAGCATCGATGAAGAATTCGTGTTCAGCGCGATAGTCTTTCGCGCTGGGGTCAAGGTGATGAATCCTTGACGAATCGAACAATCGTGTTCGATAACGATCACTCGTCGTCGCCGACAAGTGATCCATGACAGATTTAGGAGGCATCCATGCCTTCTTTTCTGGAGCGAGACGCAACACATTGCGGTCCCGCTCTTCCTGCGACGTGCCGACAGAAGTACTGGCACCTCGCTGTGAAGTGGTGTCCATTGGAGAAACGACACCACTATTAGCGCCCGAGTCTCGCGACCTCGAGCGCCTTCGCTTCGGCGATGGTTCATCTGACTCATCAGATGAACCAAAGATGCTGCGACGCAAAGCATCGTCCATGCCACGCTTGGCAGGCGGCTTGGATTCAATTGCCGTCGATACGGATCCGTCATCCGTATCAGGAGAGTACGAGACACCGAGCTCGTACTCTGTGAAGACACGAGTGTCTTCATGACCAGCGCCTGCATCACCAGGTGATACAGGCTGAGTCGATTCAGCAACCGATGGGACATCAGTTGCTGTAGTTTCTGCTTCGGCGTCCGCACAGAGACGTGCAGACGCGCTCTCGGCGGCCTTGCTCGCGCATCGCATGGGCTTGTTTACCATGCGATGAGATGTTGGAAAGTGGACGCGGACCAACAAGTGCAAACCCCGTCCCAAATGATTTGGGACGAGTATCCATTTAGTCAATCAGTCACTAAAGTGACTGATGGTTAAGGGGGGTGATGTAACGGGGTGAATCGTTACATAACAATTTATAAGAAATTGTTAATAGAATATAACTATAAGAGTTATGTTCTCAGAATATTGTCATAAGGACAATATTCTGTAGCACTTCCAAGTAGTTCCTAATTGGTTGATATAGGCCATTATATCAACCAACGAAGACGCGCCACGACAGACGCACGCAATGAGTGGTGAGCAGATAACTGATTTACACATTTGTATTTAGACATAGTTAGATGAAGATAAATAGTGATTTATTGCAGACATTAACTATTATAAATACAGTTCTACTTTTTACTCTAACCAAGTACTCGCTTCTTCTTACCGTCTTCCTCTGCACGTACGAGTGTACGTGAAGTTACGAGGCACCGCCTTATTCTGTTATCAGAATAAGTAGCTTGTACTGTCACCAGTACAAGCTTCAGGGTGCCCCGTTACAAGTGTAGGGTGCCTGTGGATAGCAAAAAGTGGGTGAGCTGGTAACCAGTCCCAACTTTTATATAAGCCTTTGTCTAAGGCAGCATGATCACCCCATCAATAAACATCGTTTCGTTTCCACTGGTTAAATGGTACTGAATCTACGTTTGCAATGTAGGGTCTAATTGGGCAGAAGTCAGGCATATCTTACTTGTCAATTTGACCAATCAAATGCTTTTTTTTGTGTGTACTTTTTAAAAAAGAAGAGACAGGATCTTACCTCAAAAAGAGTGAATCTAACAATACCTGTGTAAAAGGAAGTGGGTGTTTAACAAAAATCTGGTGGGTGGTAGCTGCTCCATAAAAGTTCACAAAAAACCCCCACGTATCACCACCCCCTCTTCAAATCTGATGACTTGAGTAGGTTCTAGTTTTAAAATTTGGACACTTTTTGATGAAAACCGGTAGTAGAATCGAAAAGTTATAGTGAGCTAGAGTCGACGCACTTGAGAAGTCGTCACGTAGGACCTGAAGCGTGACCGCTTAACACGCCTGCAGATCAGTTTGACTTTCGCCTTTTTCGCAAACAATCAGTCAGAAACGATCTTGTCTTGACAAGTTTTTACACAGGAAGCTTGCTCAATCAGCTTCCCGGCCGTCTGAGTGTAGCTGGACGCTGTCGTAGACCACCGTAGATCTACCATCCGTCTTGTCACCGTGGCTGGAGATAAAGCCGAGGTACAACGATAGCACCAGAATGCAGACGGCACATAGCACCATGTTGACAAGAAAGAGCAGTGGCCACGACGCCAGTAGACTCGGTAAAAACGGCAAGACCATACGAGCGACTGATGCTGAGGCACCAAAAACACCCATAAGCAGACCTTGCGGTCGTGAGCCAAGGACTTTCGAGAACGCTGACACTACCACGGCCGATGTTAGTGGGCAGCCAACGCTCCAAACGAAAACCTCGGCAGTCGCAAAGATGTCAAATTGCTGCTGAGAGTGGTCTGCGTCGTCGCTTCGTTCGTTGTTCAATTGCATACCTGCACACACTGTAAGTAGAATTGCGTTGCCCACGAGCAGCATGGCAAAGCCAAAGAGCAAAAAGCCCGTGTCAGGGACCTTTTTGCGCAACACGTGCACCGAACCGTACGAGATTAATCCCAAGAGCCCAATGACGAGATAGAAAGTGGACGCATCACGTGTAGCCTCGACAGAGTCCTGTTCCTGAATGGTGTTTCGATTCGTCAGTTGCAGGAATAGCGGCACATTCACAGTCTCGAAAATGGAAAGGATTCCGCGCGTGATGAAATTCAAGAAGATAAATACCAGCATGCCCACAGTCACCGCTTGATCCGATAAAATGGGCGACATCACCTCTTGTGTGGGTTTCTTTTCGGCAACTTTTTCGGTAGACTTCTCCAATTTGTCGACAACAATTGTTAGCTCATTCACGTTCGGCTTCGTGCTCTCCGACGATACAGGTACAGATGCAATGACCTTTGGAGATCCTCGAGCGTCATCACGCGAAATTGACTCGTCGTAAACCAGGTTGTTAACGAGTATCGTAAACAAGTTGAGCGCTACAAGCAGAAAACCTGGAGCAGTGAACCGGTTGAACTGCAGTAGGTCAGTAGCAATCTCGATCTGCGTCTCACCTATGACACTTCCAAGTCCTGGAGTCAGTGCGTACGCGAGGAAAACGACCGTAGCAAAAAGCGTAAAGTACTCCAGCCTCTGGTCCACGCGCGTGAGCATGGCGATGTTGGCTCGACAAACACTTCGATTGCCGGCGCCAAACCCAATCACCAATCGACTGAGGGCAAGCAGCGTCCGGTTGCGTACGGACGAACTATATGGCAGTACATACATCAAGTTGCCCAGCACTGAACAAGCGCCCGCAACGTTGTACAGCACTCGAAACGACGTGCGATCACAGAGCCAACCGAACAAGAGCGACGAGAAGAACCTTCCGACACTAAAGAGTGCAGTGAGTAAACCAACTTCCTCCAGCCCACCGCCGAGTTCCTGGACGTAGGTAAACAGCGTTGGCAACACAAGACCTCGTGCTGCCTCAGCCCCAAACTCAGACAAATGGATCAGCACCATATGCGCGTACCACGACCTCACTCGACAACTACGCGCAGCTCTTTCAACTCGATAAGCAGTGCAGTCTCTGTGGTCCGAACGAGTGCAGCTATGCACCATTACCAACACCTTCGCAGCAGAATCGGTGTCAACTGCAACAGTCAACGAAGGTGCCATGATGCGACTTGTGTACTGCAATTGACGAGACGTTGTAAGTGTCGGTTGACACGCCAAGTCGCAGATAAACGTCCAGTTTTCAAAGTCCACCTATTATCAGAAGTCGCTTTCAAAGATGTCGCAGAGCCCTATCATTCGAGCTCTGCTGAGAAATTTCTTGTCAGTTGTCGTGCTTCGTTCGTAGCCATTATTTGCCAATGACAGGGCTAGTTTATGCGGGTGATTGTGCGTCGATCCCAGCTGCTTTCATATGATCTTACAATATGTTTGTCAGTGATAAAAAGGTACCGTCTAGTGATGAAGTTTACCCGCCCCGACAAAGCTTCTACATTCTGCCATTTAGTACATGACCACACGGTAGTCACGTTTCGACACTTCGAATTGAATACCACACAAGGACAGCCGCATCAGCAAAGGTCAACGGCTAACGCTTGTTTATGCGCCTTCTAATTGCTGGCGTGTTCTAGCACCTTTCCAAGAACGTTTCTTTCATTCGATCGTGTCACGTGCACTACCGCATCGCTTATCACTATAGTTAATCAACGTTTGATCACAGTGATTACTCCAAGTCTCGACCGACCGATCGTAAACCGACTGGTGCCCAGTTACTCCCGACAATTATCTGTACATCTCCGTCACGGGCCGTCGGAGCTCAATGACCCACACTCATCAACCCTTTAGTCGCTCGTCTCCTGCTGTTGTAGCTTCTTCAACAACCGCGTTTGCACGACAGCGTCTACTAGTGGCCATTCGAGCCACTGCAATGGCTCATTCGAGGCCTGCAAGTTTCATGCCACATCTCTAGGTTGTCTCACTCGGTTTTGCGGCCTCATTTACCTCGTGCGCAAAGAGTGTGCGCGTGTTTTGGCGCTGGTCACGTCTGCAATAGGTCCCACGACCGAGTTGTGGCTCCGAGCTGTGGCGGTCAGCTACAGGCGATGCCTTTGAAGCTCTGGACGTCGTGGACGAGTTGCAAGCTGAGACACTCGCAATTGCGAACAACACGCTGAGAGAGCTGCAGGTTGATCCAGTGGACGACTTGGAGGCGTCGGTTGTCAACTCGTGGACGCCATTGCGGGAGCTGCTGGTTGGCATGAGCTTGTTGCAGGAGCAGACAGTAGCAGCGACGGATACAGTGCTGTCGTTTGGCGAGCGACTGAGTGCTGAGATCATTGCCAGGATCTGGACGAGAGCTGGCGTCGATGCATTTTGTGTGGATGCAAGGGAATGTCTGCTGACTGACGACGCTCATGGCAGTGCCAACGTCCTATTCAACGAGTCCAAGGCGAAGCTGCTCGAGCAGAGTAAACGATGGAAACCTGATGCACTGCCTGTGATCAAGGGCTCCATCGGCTGCACGCAAAAAGGACGTACGACGACGCTAGGACGGAACGGAGCTGATTACACGGCCACGCTCGTTGGTGCAGTGCTCAGTGCAGATTAAGTGGTAATTTACACGGACATTGCGGGTGTCATGACTGCAGATCCAAGCATTGTGGACCGTGCAGTACCGCTGTCGCATTTGAACCACTACGAAGCACTGGAACTTGCAGTATATGGCACGCGGATGTTCCACGCCCGCATGACGGTGCCGCTGATCAAGAGCGACGTAATGATGTTCATCCGCAACATGATGGACCCCAGCGGCCGTGGTACCTACATTAGTGCGGCTGGCCGCACAGGTACACACGAGACGTGTACCACGTCGTTGGAGCGTCTCGCGATCATCGAGGCTCGTACTCGCATTTTGCAAGACGGGAGCAGCCGACACGAGAACATTGGTGCTCGTGTGACCGCAGTACTGGAGGCGCTTAAGATTCCCGTGTGGCTGTCCATTCGTGGTGCACATGGACAAGCTATTAGTGTGGTAGTGCCTGTGGAGAAGGAGTCACAAGCCTGTGCAGCTATTAATGCCGAGCTAAGTGCTGAGATCGCGTCTCACGAGGTCGATTCCGTGAACTCGGAGTCCCCGGTGACGATGCTGTCTGTTGTAGCAGAGGACCTTTCTAAGGTGTCGAACCATCGGGCGAACTTTTTTGGTTCTCTAGCTGACGCTGGTATCGAAGTGTTGGCTATCGGTCAAGGCACGAGCTCCCGTTCCTTAAGTTGTGTCGTTCGTGGTATTGACACAAAGGTGGCCGTGCGTCGCGTGCACGATGCTTTCAATGTGGACTATCTCGTTACGAACATTGTGCTGTTGGGCTGTAACCATATTGCATTGGACGTTGTCCGTCAACTTCAGAAGCAGCAGGAGCTGTATCGCTCTCAGCACAAGGTACGCGTGAACATCGTTGGGTTCAACTCCAACTGCTACGACTTTGTTTATGATCCCAAAGGATTTGGATATGAAGAACTTGTCTTGCGCTTGGAAGACTCCAAAAGCAAGAATGCCATGACATCCGTGTCATCCACGAGTGAGTCGATGTTGTACGCTGGTGCTCCATCGCTCGAGCAACTGAGCCAGCTGCAGGAGTTGTCGATCCCGATCGTGCTCGACTGTTCCGGCCAGAGTAATACACAAGGCCTGTATTCAGCCTGCATCGATCGCGGCATTCACATTGTCACATCCAACGCACGCTCAGTGTGTCGCCTTCCTTCTACTCCGTCGCGTGAGAGTGTTGCCGTTACCACTTGGACCAAGGCCGGTCGTACGTTCTTCATGTACACGTCGACTATCGGCGCAAGTTTGCCTGTTATTGATACCCTTGGCAACATCTTGCGCACGGGTGACCGAGTGCTTAGCATTGAGACGTCGTTGAGTGGATCCATGAACTTTGTTGCAAACGAGGTGATGAAGGGCAAGAAGCTCTCGGAAGCTGTTGGGGGAGGTGCTCTGCAGAGGCTACTGCGAGCGTGACCCGCGCGAGGATTTCACGGGCACGGACATGGTCGCCAAAATCGTAGTATTGGCTCGTGCTCTCGGTGTGCACATACACGCGAGTGAAGTTCGGGTGGAGCCGTTCATTCCACATAGCGTGCTTAGCACTATCGCGTGGTCTCTCGACGTGGATGTGGGCGACATTGTCACTGGACTTGAGGCGTACGACGAGGAATTCCGAAAGAAGTTCTACTTGCCAGCTGTGTCGGAGGGCAAACGTCTTCACTACGTTGCCTCGATCGACTTGGCTGAATTCCCATCGATCCAAGCCACGATTCGGCCTCTGCTTGTCAGCGAAGCTCACCCAGTGTTTTACACCAAGGACAATGAAATCGCTCTTGGTGTCTCCTCCATGCAGTACCCGAATCCACTAGTTCTCAAGGGCTCTGGGACGGGTGCTCCCGCTAGTGCTACTGGCGTCCTCCGTGACGTCCTTACAATTCTCCATTCGCTCAGTGGGAAGAATGTCCACGTTTAATTGGCGACTGCCGCTCTTACTAGGTCGGCTTCCTGTCGCTGCGCTACCCTCCGCCACCACTTCGACAACGCGCTTCCTGCCTGTTGGCAACCGCAAGCTCCTTCATCCATCTTTGCAGCTCCTTCAACTGTCGACTGTTCTCTTATGTACATACAAACAGCCGCCGACACCAACTTGATCTGGCATGTCGTGCCACACGTCGCGACTACTCGATCCTGATCTTTAACAGGACGTTCTACAGCAAAGGAATGACCATTAGAACAGCTTGTGTGGTTACGATTGGGCTTCACTTTGGTGCTAACAGAGCTGGTGCCGCCTGCACTGTCGATGCCCACCACATGCACCACGATGCACCGATATTGTCCAGCGGCGTGGATTATAAGCTAGGCATGTTGTCGCAATCTAGGACGGGAGACTGATCGGGTTCTCATTCGTATGATGCTAGCGAGAACGCATTCCGGAGTGTCCGGTATGTTCATTGGATAGTGGAAGTGAGCTACGCGTGGCGCTTTAGCGAGGGTTCCAATGATTTCTTTGGCACATGAGGACACTGTTGTTCGTGGCATCTAGTTGTGGCCGTCACAAGTGTCGTGTTTGGCAAGTGCAGGCTTGGAATTGCAACTGTTGACGATACTGCTACCGAAAAGCCCTGCTTTGCTTTGCTGGTCTCGTGGATTGACAGATGGTGGTTAGTCGCAGCTCGCAGCAGTCGCTAACAAAGTTACCGGACACGATCGAGTGGTCTTCAACACCAAAGCGTCGTCGTCCTTGACGCGGCTCAAGGAAATGGCTGAAATAGGTCGATTTTGTCGCTGTGGACAAAGCAGCATTTGTCGGGTACGAAGCGTACAGTATGTCCGGCTAAAGCAGACACTTAGAGCTACGTTCGTTCAAGTTGAACAAGACCCACGGCCAACGACGCATTGGCTAAGCATGAACAGCAAATGACTAACGCCCCTGGGTTTTCTACGCGTGTGGCCCGGATCTGGAGCCAACGACAAAGTAGTCTAGTGTGTTCTACTGACAGTAAGAATACGGGCTTATCAGATGAGCTCGTGAATGCCAATCTGCAAAGGATATAATGGTCGTTTGTTGCATGGAGACACTCGCATTGAACATCACATCACCGCTTGAGCGATTTGCTTTGTATCTTACTTACACATACGCATGAAAGCCAGGTTCAATGATCCAGTAAAGTGAAAAACTATGGATTGTTAGCTTCTTCTCCTACAATGTAGGCTGCTGTTGGAAATTCAACCCTGAGACCTCTGCTGAAGAAAGGGCCCTGATCTCTCTCGTATAGTACGCCTCGTAGTCTGCTCAAAGGTGCTTGGCTTGGATCTCAGACAGCTCGGAGGGGCTCCCATCCGACGTTTCTGGCGTCTTCTTTACCATCTTCAACTGCGCATACAGCATTCTTTCGAGGTCACTGGGACTTCCACCGTACTGCTGTGTCTCTGTGTCGCTCACGCCCTCCAATTTGTTGCTCTTGACTCCGTACTTTTCACGAAGATACGCCCTGACAGATTGAACATGCTCCAATCCATCCGTGATCGCCTGTACGATAACGTCGTCGCCAAATGTCTTTCTAAGATAACGAACCACGAAGAAAAGGGCTTCGTGTACGGGCTCCTCTTCCAGCAGCAGCTTACCGTATTCGACCAGCGTATTTAGCTGTTCGTACGTAAGACGCACAGTCTGATCTTTTTGCGGGGAAAGGCCCAGCAACTCGACAACACCTTCGATGGGCTTCCCCTGCTCTTTCCATCTGCTCAGCAGTTTATGTTGAATCGAAGTCGCCGCATTCTTAGTGAAGGGACTTAGCCTTGCGAGCGACAGCATGTATGCCAATTTATCTTCACCACCAAGGCCTTCCGAGATCGTGCCGACCAGCGTGTGCGTCGTACCCTTCTCAGCGTTTAGCTCCACGAGAAACTGCTCCAACGCTTGCACTTTTGCGCAGTGAAAGTCTTCAAAGAAGTCATTTTTCGTCAGGACTTTGACGAGATCCTCTGGATTCTGATCATTCATCCACTCCTTAAACTTGTTGACCATCACGTTTTGATACTCGGTTTCATACGTGACAAGCATGGCGCTCAGTACGTCCAAGTCTGTCTCTCTAAAATCCAGCAAGGTTTCCGAGTATACATGCTCAAAGACCTTCTCATCTCTCGTAGAGAGTAGACTCCACTGGGCTGGGATGGAACCATGCTTGTCAGTGGTGCCGTGAAGCTTGGAAATGATGGCTTTCATGTTCTCGTTTAGCGACACAGGGACGACCTCTGCTATTTCCGGTGTTGGAAGTCTCTCTTCAGCGCTCTTGTTCTCTTGAGCCCTCACGTGCTGGTCGGCAGGAGCGTCCTTGGTGCCATTCACAAAGAGAGGGTCACTGGCCGTAATGTTTTTTTTCGTCAACGACGAGTTCGATACCGTTGCAGGACCAGTGGCGCGGGCTGGAGCCGCAGTAACGGCGAGGAATACGAAAGGATGCAGCCGCATCTTTTTTGAGGCAGTGAGTGCTGCTGTCGGTTTATGAACTGACTGAGTGGACCAACGCCGAAGGGATCGAGAGGTTGACACGCACTGGCGTCCAGTGAATTTAACAGTAGAGCCGGGACGTGTTAAGTGCAAGACAATGTTGTCGCTCTTGCACTTACCCAACCACATAAGTATGTCCGTTGCAGCTTCGAGCTGGCCCTGTCTCATTGTTGCGATCGCAGGACCGGCTACTCCCAGCTGTGTTGTGATTGTTGACTGGGCAACTCGAAGAAATAGCTCAATTCTCGTTTTTTTACCACAATTTGTATCGTGCACCCACATGTCTGCCCCCCCCCCCCCCGACATAGGACGATTTTGCTGACAGTACCTTCGACACAAAACAAAACAGGTAATTACACAATCGCAAGACTTTACCACTTTTACTTAGGTGCAGACTTAAACTACACAGCTTTTGTGCCAAAACCGAATCTATTTTTGCTGGGTACTACGAATGATCCACCGACAGAGATGCTTTGCATCGACCGAGGCTATCCGCTTGACTTGAGCTGTTAGAATTTTGCGGTGCTAAACAGGGTCGTGAGAATTTTCTGTAGGTACCGAGATACAAAAAAGGTTCACAGTGCGCCTTACGAGCGACATATTACCACTATACTATCGATGCTGCATGCGCTGCCACTCCACGCTCTTTAAGCGCAGCCATGCGATCTTGTGCTGGTCTTCACAGTAGCTGAATCTAAATGCGTCCGGTCATAACTCGGCGTCTTTTTCGCCCGGCTTCTTTCTCGTGAGTTTGTAAAACATAGACTTGAATATGCCTCTTCTGCTTCGTACTATAAAAGATTTGTCATCTGGATCGAGGATCGTGGGATTGAATGGTGGCACGTCAGTTTGTACGACTCTGACATGCCCTGTACGTGTTCAAGAGCATTGTCATCAACGTCGTTTGTCTACCCCGCTTCAAACCCAATGTAGAAGGAATGGCTGGTAGCGGCTGCATCAGGTTGCTTCCAGTAATCGTCCTTTTTGTGGCCATCGTCGCTGCACGTCTGCAACGATGGTGGTGGAAACTGCTTGCTGCGGTATCTTTATGAACACTGTCTCACTCTTGTAGCCGTCTCCCGTCATTGCACTTGAGGACTGGCTGCAAATGCTCGCGTAGCTGCAACGCGGCAAGCCCGTTGTATATTTCCGGCCTAAAGCATCGGTGAAGAGGACGACTTTATGGCAGGACGTAGTTTAATTTTCGTGGCTAGTGGATATCTGGGCAGATGGGGCAATATATCAAAGCACGACTAAACTAGATCAGTACGATTATTAATGAACGGGTTGCGCTGGTCATGTGCAGGTTAAGGTCAGATCGATGGGCCAAGTGATGTCACCGCTTTAAGGTGACCTAGGTTTCTAGAATTGTAATCCTACGAGACTCTGACTAACAAGTTACAATAAGTGCTTCTTCATTCTACTGTTTGCCACCGTCATTCTACTCGTCCCATAGTATAATGACAACAAATTCGGCCATTCTGCTCACTCTCTTCATCGGCATACTCTTCTTCTCAGCTGCTCTATTCTGTTCGTTTTCTTCTGAGGCCTAAACGAGATCTTTTTAGTCACGATCAAGTGTCATCAACAGCAGAAAATAATCAGCATGGCTAGCTTTCGTACCATAGCACTTTAACCGTGCTCATGACCATCTTCTGTGCAACAACAAGAATCCTATGCAGTTGATTCAGGCAGGGGATGCTTTATTCATAAACGTTTTGCAACCTTTTTCCTCTCGAGTCAAGCCTTGCACCACTATGTCTGCTTTAACATCATACAACCACTACTTACATGTGAAGATAAAAAAATTCTCACCTCCGAAGATATCGGATCGAGATAGCTATACTCGGCACGGCGTTGGATGCGACCAGGAAGCAACCGAGGTCACAAGTTAGGTCTTTCCGTCATCTTCCTACGTCTTTTCCAACTCATTAATTTACAATGCTGATTGCTGCAATTTATGTTTTACATCAATCCCCTCGACCTAATGTGCTTCAACCGCCTCTCAATTATGAGTTCATCCCTAGTTCTGGTGCTTACCTTTTTAGCTGACACGAGTCCACTACTTCTTCCGATGCCGTAGGTCACCCTTCGATTCGCTGAATTAATTGATGCACATTATACTCTGAGTACATTTGTAAACGCATGACCCAGTTTGGTTGCTTCTATACGAATTTGTGTAGGTCGGAATAACCATATCCCATCCAGACTACCTATTCACATCTGGGTCACAGTGTTCACATTCACTTGAGGTCCACATGAATACCAGACGTCACCATCCATCGATTTGGATGAGTTACAGTGTTAATTGATCAATTAACTGACAGCGTTGCTTGGCATCGATCGGCATCTCACTTAATCCCTGATCACAATTCACACAGCAAGTCTGTATTGCTGTGGAAAGTATACAAGTGGGGCGACAAGATTTTCCAGACTACTAAGCTGAAGAAGGAGGGTTCGTCGCGTACTACGAAAAGATTCGATAGTTGTTACCAGCAGACTGTGATTGCCAGGGAAATATTGCTGTAGTGCTCTGGGAGACAAAGACATTATACATATGTAGTAAGAAGGTACAAGTTTCAATAAAAGATCATGAGCATCAGTTCCAAAAATACGTGAAAGATGAAGGCGGGTTCTGTAACAAAGTAGACCGTTAAATGCCATTGACACCAAACGGTGTCAATAGAGAGATTGTCTAGCGTGACAATCTTTTGTCTATATTATCCAGTATAGATAATATTGAAGGAATGTTACCCCCTTTTAGGGTAAATGTTCATGCGCTGCTCAAAGATTGGTTGATAAAAGACGTATCAACCATAGATTACCACCAATCGCCGCCAGACGCGCGTAATGAGTGGTGAGCAGGTTGTCGTCATACGACGACGTAATACAATATAGTTAGGTAACGACTGAAGTTATATTGATAGCTTAAGTATGTTAAATACATTTCTCTTTTTACCCTTACTTAAACTAGCAGCTTGATTAGATCAGCTTCCTCTGCACGTGCGAGTGTACGTGAAATTTCGTGACACCCAAACAAAGGGTGCCCCATTACAGGTTCTCATTACATGTGTACAAAAAGAAATTTTTCAACATCGATTTACTTCATATATACATATTTTATGAACGTTAGATTAAAACTAATTTAGTACAATTCTGAATGGTAGCTATCAGTAGCTATGCGCAAGGTAAATGCCAAAGTTTTATCCCTATTTTTGCCTCTTACCTGTGAATAGCTCAAGGTTTACCTACATTACACTTACCACTACGTACAATAAAGCACATTCCTTTTCAATAAGTATATGTGCATTATCTGTGTTACTCGTTAATCAAGTCGCCGTGATTTCTTGAAAGTGTAAGTCACGCATGCACGAATGCACGCACTTAATTGCCTCGAAATTGATCAATCTATAAATGGGACTAACACGCAAATGCTCCGCAACTTACGGGCAGCAGAATCCTTGTACATCCAGCAAACAGTGACGTGCAGTGGTTCCACCCAAAGTACTTGATAGACTAAAACAGAAAGATCATTGATCACCCTCTTCTATCGGTGACAGAGGAAGCTCCTTCAATATATTTACATGTTTTCAGGGATTATAATTGTCATTGGCCGCGCTTTTTGGTCGACAGCGTAAACGAACAGGATCATCCGTTGCTCTTATTTCTCCCGTTCATCTTATCAAAATTTCAACATACATCGATGGGAAGCGTTAACACACAACAATCCATGAGCATTTTCATTATTCAACAGATTCAGCACAAAATCCACTAGCCGCGATCTGCCCGAAATGGGAATATTAAAATACAAAGCTTGATTCAGTTCACTGAACTGGATTATTTATATAATAGGGTGAGCTTCAAGATTGCTCTCCTGTCTTACACTCATCCCTTTCTTCATGAGTATCATGTTCTGGCATTCTTGCGCAATTTTTATGATTTGGAGTACACAAGGTTAAGGGCACCAATCGCTCACACTTAGTGTTATAGTTATCTTTTAAAGTACAATATAGTACACATTGTGAAATTTTCCTTTTCGCCTCTAACAAGTCAATGGTTTGATGAAAGTTCAGTCTGACAAATTACGATGGTCAATGTCCAAAAATACTGAAAGCATACGGGATTACTCTAAACTTTTAGTAAAAATCACATCGTTTTGACATACTCATGTCACATGGCTGAATTACCAGCAGCGTCTAAGTGAACAGGAAATTAGTGAGGCCATTCCCTGAAGAACTCACAGACTTATTGAAGACGACTCTACACATTAGCCGAGGTTATGAATGCATAAATGTTGGATTCTATTATATGTGTAAAGAATAATTCAGCTAAAAGCGGTTTCTACCCATCAAAATCATATCATTACCAAGTCCTGAGTACGCTTCAACCGTGCACAAAGGCTCGTGAGCTGCTAAATTAAGGCCTATAACCCGAAAATGAGCCAGTGTCCTGGCAATTGAGCTTTCAGTAAATTTGTAGTTCAGATGCTTAGTCTTCCGTCTATCTCATATTCAAGAAGCACTCCAATCTGTTATCTATGAGCGATACCGATTTTTCCAATAAACGACCGCCCGTCGCTGGATATCCGAAGCTGAAGGAAGCCCCGTCACATTGGGTGCTTACACGGAAAGTCGCCCTAACTGAAGAAACGATCGAGTTCATGCTAAACTGTTTTAGAAACGCCTTAACCTCCATGAGGGCGCCATTACGCTTTCCAGTAAATTTTTGCAGAGCTTCCAGCATTCAAACAATCTAACAATCACGATACACGGCTAGAGTAGTTCATTATGTGGAAAGTCGTGTATGTAGCATTGGCTGGACTTCGGATGATAATTGCTCGCAATGAGCCCTATTTTCTTCAAAATGGATGAAATGGTATATTCAAAAATTTCAGAAATCTCGATGTAGGCTGATGTTGTACAAAACTGCATCATGGTCCCAAGGAGAAAGTTTGCGCAGAAAGAAGCTGAGGTCTCATAAGTGCAATTTGCACTTAATTCAATTCCTGGACAAGTTTTAACATCAAGGTTGTTCATTTCTATCGCATTCTTCTCCTTTTATATTTGGGGCCAATGTATAGTGGTTACAGGTAAGGCAAATGGTACCGAGAAATTCAGGCCTTTTTTATTGAGAAAGCAATCAAATCTGTATTTCAAGTGCAAGTCCGACAAGCAGCGCGAATTCTACTACTGGAACAATATCAAGTTATGTATGACTTCTAATTCTTTCAGTAGTGGTTGTAGAAGAGATTTCATGACCGTCTATTAACATTTACCTATGTACAAGATGTCTGAAAACTCTGGAGCCAGGACAAGAGCTCCGGATCCGGTAGCTTGTCGTAGCTGCTTCCTGCGAAGACCACCTCATCCCGCGGTTCGAGAGTGAAGAGGTCAAGACAGGCATGTAAGAGAGCCCCGGCGACGACTGTGTCGGGACCACGATGTTCGCGTTTTGCTAACGCGCTGAGATGCCGAATCCCCACCTTCCAAAAACGGGTGACGCTGTGAATAACCGTCGTCCGCACACCTTGAAATACTGCGTCGTTTCGTTCACTCCATAAGTGAGTTAAACAGACGCTACACATAATAAACCATATGCGATTCCAAACCATGACCCCTGCTTCCAAGTCGTCTTGTAAATGTTCATGTAGGCGTTGTCGCTGCCTTGCCGGTAATGCAGGAGCCTGACGATTCACACTGCCAAAATACCAGGTCTCATCAACAGACCTCACATCTCGGAGACCCGTCCAGTGACAGATAAGTCGCCTCCAGCAGGCGCGCGCCTTTGTACATTCCCAAAAGATGTGAGCCGACGTTTCTTTACGCCCCCAACACTCCATCAGCGCTCGACAGCTGTTGTCAGCGCGACGACCATCATGGTAGAGGTTAAGTTGATTAGTGGCGATTCTGTAGCAAGTCCAGACTTGAAAATCCGAAAGGCCATTAGTATGGTTCCAAACTTGAGACGGGCGTTGATGAGCTGCTGCACGCAACCAGCCATCCTTGCTGATGACTTGTTTCAACCGTTGGATCAGCCCTTTCAAAGGGACAGCAAGCAGTCGTTTGTGAAGTCTGAACGCTAGCCGGGCAATTGTCGCCCTTATCGAAACGTTCGCCACCGTGTTGGCCACAGCCCAGGGAAATCGATGATGATCAGGATGTGAATAAAACACGACACCATGTAACCGCAGTCGGCTCATCCAAATGTCCCTCTCAGCGACAGTTTCAGTAACCAACTCAGGTAATGATGTGGTAAAAAACCATCTAAATCCGTCGGCACTTTGCCGCAATTTGACGTGCTCACACCCGTTATCCGCAGACTCCCGTCTATTCCCGACGACGTAACCATGTCGCACCGTCGAAAAGTCAAAATGATACCGAAACGGAGGCGCATGACGAAGTGCTAACTTCGGTTCCAGCGCTAGTTCCGACCCAATTCGAATAGAAGGCGAAGCGAGCAAGATAGATGTAGCCCAGCGCCTTAACTTCGGCTGATAGTGATGCTTAGAGGCAGGTCCAGCCAGTGAGATACTGAAGATAAACTCTTTCGGTCCGGTTCTGCGAATGTGCAAGTCCGAGATGGAGCAGTCAGCTATCCGGTCGTATTTGGAGCGTACAAGCTGCCGACCCTGCCCGTCGCGAATCCACGAATTGTTACTCCATCCGAACGTTCCCCAAAAGCGGTGCAGTGCCAGTACTTGGACGTCGTTGGATGCTAATGCTTCCGGAAAAGGGTGATGGTAAGATAATACCCATTCATCTTCTTCCCACCAGCTACTGGCTCCTTCGAGCAAAGTCGAATAGTGCATGCGAACGCGATCTCGAATAAAATTCAATTGCTCCGTCGTGGGTTGCAAAAGCTTGTCCATGTCTTGTATCCATGCAGGTTTCGACGGCTTCGAAGTGCAAGAAGATGTTATCCCTGGTATACCCCTTCCATACAGGACCAGGGATGAGGAAGTTGGCCTACCTTGATAAGCCCAGTGACACCAAGAGACAAAATACTTGTCTTGGGCTTGCGTTAGCCACCGCAGTGCATGTTTCGTGTGCTGAGTTTTGATTGCGACCTCGAATGAAGCCAGCCCTACTCCGCCTGCGTGTTTCGGAGTGAATAGCAGTCCTGGGTTGATCTTGTGCCTGCTAGCTTCTGTCGAAGTGGCATGAGCCCACAAAAATTGTTTGTACAAATTTTGGATTGCCTGCCTCGCCCATTCTGGGATGTCGAATACCGCTGCCGTGAATAAAATGGATGGAAGAATGATGGAGTTTAGAATCAACACTCGATTCTCCACATTAGTCGCGACCCTGGAAGCTGTGATTAGCCGCCGTTGAAGCCTTCGAATCCTTAAAGCCCAATTGCGGTTATGTAAGGCACCAAGACCAACCTCATAGCCCAGGTACCTTACTGTTTCTGTCTGGTGTAGCACCGAAATGCCAACCATTTCTCGCATCTGCACCCCTGTGTTCAAGAGTATGATTTTGCTCTTTGACGGCTGGGCTTCCAGTCCAGATAAGGCTCCAAAGCGTGATACGAGGGCAAGAGCCGGTGCCAGCTGATTCGCTTGGTCGAGAAAAATCGTGGAGTCGTCGACAAACGCTGAGAAGCGGTGCGTTTGAGTACGGCTACCTGGTACCGGGAGTCCTTTCAAGGTGGGATACTGCTGAACTGCAATTCCCAACAACTCGACCACCACGAGGAATAGCAAAGGGGCCAGAGGGCAGCCTTGCCGAATGCCTGACACGACGGATATTGGACTGGACCGTTCCCCATTTACGAGGAATGTAGCCGTAGTCCCTTCATGCAGCCGGGTAATTAGCTGAATATATCGTTCCTCAAATCCAAATTGTCGAAGCGCCTCGTAAGAAAGCTTCTGTCCACAGTATCATATGCCTTTCGAAAATCAAGTAGAAGGATGACCCTGCTATTAATCGCGTCGAGAGTTGCATCAGAAGAAGCAGTTGCCAGTTGGGAGAGCATCATCAGGACAGACTTCAACATCTGCCTGCCATGGACGAAACCTTGTTGTGAGTCACCAATGACCTTAGGTAATACAACTTGTAACCTAGTCGCCAGCACCTTCGCGAAGATTTTGTAACTGGTCTGAAGTAGCGAAATAGGCCTGTAATCCATAGCATCAGCTGAGTCACCTTTCTTCCGCAAAGGTATGATCAGCGCTTCCAGAAAAGAAGGTGGAGGATCTGAGCCCGCCAATATTTGATTACTGATTCGCACTAGGGCTGGAACCAAAAGCGCCGGCGTATCCTTGTAAAAGTCGTTGTTTAAACCATCAGATCCAGCCGATTTATGTCGACATAGGCCCGTGATGGCTGTAATAACCTCATCTTCAGTGAAATCGGCCATTAAAGACCGATTCTCGCTCGAAGAAAGTACCCGTTGGGTGGGAACTTGAACAAAATGTCGAATGGTGGCTGGTTAGGCTTCCAAAGGGGTACTGCGATGTACCACGCCTAAAACAGTGGACCACTCTGAGGCAAATTTATCTGCCGTCGACATGGTGCGACTAAAAACCGGTCCATGAAGCTGCTTAATACCGGTGACGGTTTGCTCGCGCTCCCAGTCGGCAATTTTGCGATAAAAAAACCGTAACCGATCTGTTGTCCTGACCAGCTGTTGACCGAGTCGCACAATATGTTCCTGACGCAATTCTTCCATCTTACAGGATATCCATTGTGGCCTGGTAAGCAAGTGCTGCTGTGCCCGTCTCTGAATGTTATGGCGAAATCGAGCCCTGCGCTGCTTCACCCTCTTACTGACACGCCGAATACAGCGTACACACTCAGCAACGTCTAGATCCCAAGTCCTGGTAGATAAAGCTTGACCAACAGCCATGCCATCCATTTCCTCGACAAGTTCGGCTATAATGTTATCGGGGTTCGATGCTGTGATGGGATACACCACCCTATCACGTCGAATATGAGGGCGACGCCTGGTTGGTTTTCGCAGGTGTAGAACTACCTCCTGATGGTCCGACAAATTTGAAGGTAAGCGCGTCTCAACCCACAGGACGCGGTCCACCCAGCCTTCCGGTACATAAAATCTGTCAATACGACTAGCCCTATCCCCTTCCCAGTATGTGAAATGGTCCACAAAAGTATCCATGGAGTCGTCGTCTGCGTGTTCGCGAAGCCATCTTGCATCAGCCAATCCTATCGTAGACACAACGTGGTCCAGGGCCGGGCTTTCTGACCGGTTGGAGCGATGCTTCCCAAATCGATCCAGAAGGGGACTCTGGACGCAATTAAAGTCGCCGACGATCATCGTGTTTGAGGGATCTAGATTTAAGGTCAGCAGGGAGGTAAAAAAAGCCTCTCGCTCGGACCGCAAAGTAGGAGCGTACACATTCACAAGGACTTCCCCCCATAGATACAGCGATCGCGCGTGTGGTCCATAAATCCGGTAATCAGGCCGTCGTATGTGTTGCAATTTGTGGAGTGAGTAGAATAGCAACTCCTGCCCGTTTTGACGAGCCAATACTCCAGTACGATAGGACAGGGGAAGTCGGGTTAAGATGCTGACCCCATAGTCGAGCCCACTGATATCGCAGCCGAGTTGCCTCTGCCTCAGTGTGCACATGTGTGTCCTGGATGCACCAAGCCCCTGTTCTGTGTCGATTTGTCTTAGCCCGCCAACCCGACATCCAACTGTCGCGCACGCTGTCCTTGAATCCTCGTACATTTTGAGATATGTAAAGCATGTCACCCATCCAGCCTTGGAGCCGAGATGTAACTGGCTCAGAAGAATTGGTCCATTCTTTAAGCAAGAGATGGCGGCCATAGGCGTCCGATGCGTCGAGTGATGCACCACCGGGCCTGAAGGCCTCGTTGCTCCGTAAGCTGCCCTTAGTACTCAAGTAGAAACTGCTGCTCTGCAGGAGCCAACGCAGTATTAAAGAAGCAAACCAGCTTGCGCCAATCCACCTTGGATCCCCCGTCAGCGTAATACACCTCCTTGTAGTGACTGTTGTTCCGAAGTAAGCGTAGGTGCCCTCGAAGTTGCTCGGGAGGCTCAAGTGGTTTTTCCCCATCCCCGGTCAGCGCAAAAATCTCAGCGTCGAACAATAGCGCACATAGTAGGTGATAACTCAGGCGTATACGTCGGTGAGGGTCACAAAGACGCAAAATATCATCGGTAGCGTAGTCTACCTCCCTCAGCTTGACCCAATCGTCGGTATTGTCGATTAATGAGGCCAGCCGGGAGGAAGGCAATCGCTGCTGTGTTCGCACGATCCATTGATCTAGCCACAGTGATTGTATAGAATCTTGCACTCGACGCCTGTACTCAAGTAGACCAGACAGCAAGCACGCCTGTCGCCACTGAGCCGTCCACATCCCGAGAACGTGATCCCCTAGGCTAGCCAGCAGTTCACCCGGGAAAACAAAGCGTCGCACGTGATGGATCAGCAGCTCTGGCTCGACCTGGGCAGTTTTCAGCCACGCCTCAGGGTTACCATACACTAGTGGATATGGCGTAGAAGCCGTTACTGGCCATTCAACGCCCAGAGCCTGCCAGAGATCCGGCCAGTCGTCGGTATCCATTCGTTCCTCCATCCGAGTGATATAGGGTTGAGGAGAAGCAACGCTGATCCTGCCTTTTTTCTGTTTGGAGATCTCAAGTCCACTCCAGTTCTCCCCTTCGCTGACCTCGATGGACTCCGACGTGCTGACGTGCCCACGTTTTCGAGCCGATAGCGAACTGCCCTGATTGGCCCCCCTGATCTGCGATGGAACAATAGCTAATTGCTGCGATGACGCTTTGGCAAGACCACAGTTCCTTGAAGAGTGGATGATTATCGAAGTGTTGTCATCCACAACCGACATATGATCCCTGATAGGGGATAAAATACGGGAGCGCTTCTCTTCTAGCTGCACAGCTAAAGTATCCACAATTTGCGAGTCCTGACCTTGCTGCAGCGCTGAGCCTGTTCCGTCCGAGACGTCAGTTAGGCTGAGCCGATCTGCCGCCCTGGCAGTGTGCAGAAAAGCTGAATAATGCCGGCCCCAGAATCTAAGCACCAGTGGTGGAGCGCGAGGCGCCTCTATTTTTGCCGCTTGCAGCTCGTCTATACACGCCAAGAGAGTGAGTGGAAATTCTTTGGCAGTTTCCACTACTCGACCGTGTCTGTTGATCGTAGCAGGACAATACTTGCGACCACTCCAGTTACCCGTTCCGCGGCCACAGTTCAACACATAGATAGTGCGATGCAAAAAATTGGCTGCCATTCCAAGAGTGTCACTTCCACCCCAGCTATGCTCCTCAACCAGGGCTTCTCTGTTGGAAGGGGAGGCTGCATAGTCATGCAAAAACCACCGTAGTTGGGACGCAGCCTCCCCCCTGGTCATCGTCGTCCAACCTCTGCCAACGTTCTTTAAAGCATGAACCCGTACGTCATGAGCCATTTGATCCTCCAAATTTAGTAGTCCGGCGTTGGAGATTCCCCGTTTAATACTAGCCGTTAAAATCTCAAGGTCCTTGGTAGGGTTGTCCAAAGCAGATTCTGCGAGAGCTTGAGCTATGGCTATCGCCAAACAATTGCCCGTGGCCGGTGTGGCGACTTCACGGAGCCCCAAAATCTGTACCAATTCTGTCACATGCATGGGTTCAGCATGAGGCATTGGTTCCATGGGGATCGCGTGACTTGTCCCTGGTGACAACTGTTTAATTAGCCGCTCACATGTTGAACGCTCCCGGCGTTTATTGGCCAAAAGCGTTGGGCCCGCAACAACAGACACCTGTCCTCTCCTGGCGGCTGCTGTTTGTCGTGCTAGATCCTCAGGTGTCAACGTGGGTGGTCCCTTCTTGGAAGACGCATCCCGATCCGTCATCTTACTTGATGCTTGCCTTGGCAGATCATGGGTATCTCTATTAACAGAATTCGAGGACGTTTCGGTCTCATCCAGCTCGTCCTCTTGGAGCACGTGATAACTACCGCTGCTAACCTTGAGATCGCCTTTCGAGGCCTGCAGGGGTGACCATATCCTCCTCCCTCCCCGTACAGGCCGGGTCAGCCATGGTTGCGCTGGTCGGCATTTTGGGGCCGGTGGTGGTGGCCCCTCGTGCGTGCCTGGTGGAGTATATACCGGTTGGAGAGGTATGCCAGTTCTGGGGGGTTCTGCCACTGGCGACGGACTGGGGGCAACTGTCAATGCCACCGGCGTCACTGCAGCCCGCGCTGCCGCATCCTCCGATTGTTGGACTTGAAGACGTCTCATTGCCATCTGCCTCATTTCGCCTGGACTGCTAAAAGGCTTGGCGAGGTCTTCAACAGCTTGAAGATCTGCTTTGATAACTTCTACGCCACCCGGCCCGCGTAATTGCGCATCTGTGAATTGACATCTGCCCGCCGGGTGTCCCAAAGTTCCACACTGCAGACATTGGAGGCGACGGCCCACATCTGGATGCCTGATGATTATTAGTGTTCCAAACCAAAGTAATCGTACTATACCCTGAAGGAATTTCGGGCAGCCCGCTAGATGAAAGGTTACCTTCCACGCTGTTGATGTTCTTGAATTTGGTGTGCATGTGTCCATGTCCTCCAGCTCAAATTCTGTTTGAATCTTCGAGCGCAAGTAAGCTGCTATGCGTCCAATGTCGTCGAATCTGGTAAGATTATAGAGGATAATCGTATAAGCCGATCTTGGGTACCCCGACCGACCATCTGGACCCCGCTGGTTCTGCCATACCAATCCCCTTACCGGCTGATGGGCGTTCTCCAGCGTATAAACTCGACCTTGAAAAGGCACTTGAACGTCCTGGAGCTTCTTTGCCTTGTCCCGCGAAAAAAAGAAAAAGTGAATCGACCGGGTTGATCGATTGTAACCGATCGTTTTCGTTGATCCCAGCAGGCGATGGAGATCGGGCAAACTGATCCTCAACAGCTCGGCTGATTCCAGAATCTTCTCCGTGATGGCCTTCGTTGTCTGACGACTTAGAGGAATGTCACGCCCACCGCTGATATGGAGAACTAACTGACCCTCCACCTGCGCCTGAACGGTACTGTACAGCCGGAGACGTTCCTTGCTGTCCAGAACCGATCGTAGAAAGTCTGGCATCCGGCGACAGACTATATGCCCTTCGGCAATACCCACAATAATGCGCCATTCGTCATCAGACCCCTCACGTAGCCGTTGGAAGCCCGTGTTACCTAGCCGGGCCACACATATGGCCTTTAGTGTAATCGAGTCTTCCAACGAGAATTTGGCCGGGTCAAACATAAAATCTTCATAGGTTATGCTCCCCTTGTTCTCCCCGTCCATTTGGCGAGCCGTATTACCCGCCTGCACGACTTCTGCCCATTGATTGGGGACAGGAGCAGTGGCCCACTTTTGCTGACTGACCAATTTTCTTATGATCTCCTTGAATGCCCACTTCGTCAGGAGGAGTTCGTTGCTGATCTGATGAGCCAGTCGTTTCCAGTCGGCGAAACTTCCAGAAGCTGACACATAACAGCGTCGAAAAAGATCTAGCAAGCTATCCGCCTCAGGTCCCTTAAGCTTGGGAAACCTTGTGCGTCCGGCCGGTAACGCGTCGACGCTTACCGGTATCCGAGCATATTCCGCTGTAAATAGGTCCTGGATGGACAGACGCCAGACATCAACGTTGGTTGGGCCTGGTGAGGCTTTCATCGACTCAATTAGAGCCTCAAAAAGCTCCTTAGGAGGTACGTGCTCCACGGCCGGCGTGGATGAAGTCGTCTTTACCCCCTCAGGTAATCGGGGTTGTGATACCGCTGTCTGACGCGTCGACGCTCCGTCGCCGCCGCCAGGCGTTGACGAGTTTAAACCGTGATGGACCGAGGCTCCGACCGTGTCTGGCCCGTGGCTCGATACGAAAACCGCCTGCTGGTCGTCTGCCATGATGGTGTCAACTACGATATCTCCACCTGCCGTCTGGGTAACGAGTGGTCTTGTGACGCCAGTATAGGCAGGGGAATCGTCCTGCCCGCCCTGAACCGCTACCATCCCGCGAGCCATTCCTGTGTGGCTCTGCCTATCGGGTAGCGCGTCGAATTGGGTGCTGTTCCCCTCCCCCCTATCGGGGGGGAGGCGCAGAGGTGGCTTGATGGCCGTCGTTCGAGTATCTGGCTGATGCCAGTACTGGTCCTGTTTATATTCCTCCTCCAAATAACGCTGATTGAAGAGTGGTAGTGGGTTGTAGAAATTCGACGCTGAAATGATGGTAAGTAAATCCATTATTTTCAGTTCCATTGAAACCTATCTGCGTGCTATAAATTCTTATGGCACATCAATGTCATTCTTAGGTAAGCAAGAAAAAAGTACATTTTTGCTAAATAATGCACCATATCATACTTTCGATGATATGAAGGTGTAGAATGTCCACGTGCAGCTCCTATATCCCAACAGTACCTCCAAATTAATCCCACATCTACCGTAATCACCGCTGCTTTCGAGGTCGACAAAATTTGGCGCAATTTTTAACTGTAGTTATACGTGACGGACGCGTCGATGTCAGCATATACAAGGTTGATTGGTTGACCGACTTTAAATAAAGCGTGGTGGCTTATGATGAGATTTCAGCTGAAATGTGGCGAAGTATTTCATCCACACTGGTATCTTTACACTTTCGCCTCGTCATTTTTGAATTTGATCGGGAGAGGCAGGAGGTTAAGCGGGAATGGCAGGATACCATCAAATTTCTTTCTCTTAGGAAACCCACGCATTAGCCAATATGATAAATATAGTAAAGAGGGGAAGTTGAGGCAGCACTTTTGGATCCGGATGACTTTGATTTATCCATTATGTGCATAGGCTGGATGAAGAGGGGTCTATATAGGATAGATAGAAATTTGAAGTTAATAACACTAGCAAGAAGGAAGGCTTAAATATCTATCTGTGATTGCTTCCACCACTATGTTATCATCACTTTGTATAAAATATATTTGCACGCGTTTAGATTTGCATCCGTATGGCTGCGCACCACTCAAAGAACTCTCGATACTTAGATTTTTTATTACTGTAAAATCTGACATTTATTCCCCTTTAACTTCCTTCCTTTTTTATACACGAATATGATTTTATTTGCTCAAGAATACTTCCGTATGATTTTCTGTACCTCACAAAAGGCGTAGTATGAATTGATCGGGAGCTATAAGTTTTGATTCATCGTATAAAAATAAGCATGGTGGAACGCAGATCTAGTGTGATGCGGTGTAAAGATATGAGTTATCCGAGGAACGACTGTAGCAAGATACTAAGTTCAGTCACATGTGGTATTTAGCATTGTTTTCACTTAAGCAAATGTAGTCAAGAACAGAAACAGATGTATGGTATTTAACTTGATGAAGGCCTAAAAGTGATCACATTAGATAGAAGGCAGGTGTAACTGGGTTACACACGCGGTTGAGATGAGTTACGCTGGTTTGACATTCATTACACATGTAGAAATCAGTTTTAATGACAGGCGTACTATTGTATTACATCCGCCAAGCGGTAATATTTTACCTTATTGATGACGGATAGATGGTATATATTGTAATAGGGTCTTAAAGGACAGCGAAGTTCTGTTGTGGGAACACCAAAAGAACCTCCATGATTACTTTTCGATCAGGCCCCATGGTTTCAAGGTTAATTACGTAAATGAGGTTTAGTACTGCTATAAATCAGTAAAAGCATTTAGTTCCCTTTTGATCAGTTTCAGACACATGTCTTAAAAGGACGTCTTTGACTGTTAGATAATATCTTGTAACAAGGCTAGCTCTTAGGGGTATAGTGATACGTGATTACTAAGAGTCATCAGTCCCTTGAACCAGATCTAGAAGCTTGCGAGCTTGTTAGATAATTGATGTTAAGTCTCACGAAGTCGTCAAAGACTAAAGACCCTGCATTTTATGCTTATTTAGTTTAATACACTAAAAGACTCTACGAGTCTGCGAGGTTTTCTCTGACAAAGGAGCAAAAGTAGCTCCGCTATACTTGGTAGCACTTGTAGTCAATCCACACATGAGTCTATTATAATCTGCTCCTCTGTAATTATGAAAACAAACATAAACCTTCACGAGGTCCAAATATCAGCTCTAGAAAAATTTGAAGTGCTAGTTTAGAACGAACATGTAACAGGGTGAATCGTTACATAACGATTTATAAGAAATTGTTAATAGAATATAACTATAAGATTATATTCTCAGAATATTGTCATAAGGAAATATGTTCTGCAGCACTTCCAAGTAGTTCCTAATTGGTTGATATAGGCCATTATATCAGCCAACGAAGACGCTCCACGACAGACGCACGCAATGAGTAGTGAGCAAATAGTTGATATACACATTTGTACTCAGACATAGTTAGATGAGGATAGATAGTGATTTATTAACAGACATTAAATATGATAAATACAGTTCTACTTTTTACTTTAACCAAGTACTCGCTTCTTCTTACCGTCTTCCTCTGCACGTACGAGTGTGCGTGAAGTTACGCGGCACCGCCTCATTCTGTCATAAGAATAAGTAGCTCGTACTGTTATCAGTACAAGCTTCAGGGTGCCCCGTTACAGAACAAGTGTATTTAATTTCTTGCACAAGGTCCTGACGTAATTCGTGAAAGTCTTGTCGCTTCCATGCGGTTCAAAGTACACTTTTATTGGGCAAGTACACGACCATATGGCGTCGGCTATGCCAACTCGGCATGTTCCAGTACCCGATGAATATCCAAGGGATCGCCCCTTGTCTTGACTAAACCCAAAAAAAAAGAAGGAGAGAATCCTCTACTGAAAAAAGGGGGAATAGCCATGAACCCCACTATGCCCCAGTTGGAGAAAATGCGAGTTAAGATTGCTATCTTAATATTATATGGTCGATCCAGAGAATGGTCTCTTGCATGTGGCATATCGGTAGACGAGGTTATCCCTACAAGGGTTTTGACAAAACAGCAAATACACTGGATGTCTGCTCCGCCTAATTATCCGTACCAGGTGCGTCCGTGCTTCCTATCTGCCCGTCAGGACAAGAAAGAGCTACATGACTATGTCCAGGAGCTGATACCTCTAATCTTACATGCAGCTTCATCCCTTACCAAAAATGGTTCTGGTTATCATCTTCATGGAGGGTCTTCGTACTGACATGGATCAAAACGGAAGTGTTCCGAGCACACCTCACCTACTTTGAGACGGATGTGGATATCGCGTTGATATCTGAATTAACTTTAATACATCCTGTTTTGACATCCATGAGTACTACCCAAGCTCGGCAAACGTTTTTAGTTTATTTAATAGGCCGGAGCCTGTGGACCTCAGTCTCGCCGAGACGTACAAAAAAGAAGAGATTCAAGCTGTAGATTAAGATTGCAGCATCTGATGATGTTTCATGTGCGAAAACACAATGCACCTGCTATCGAATTGCCGTTTACGTCGGCACGCCAGGCTCTTTAATAACGAACTCCTGCCGCTGCCCAGAAGTCTGATACGGTGCGGTATAACGTATACTCCAATTAGATGAGAGGCTACCTGCTGGGGAAGAACACCTTCTGCTAATCTTCTTTAATGTAGTGGTGAGCAGAAGTTATCCCCAAGGGGTTCCGTTCACCCGAACACGGGACGTAAATACAATCCAGGCCTGTTAGTACAAATGCAACTTTAAAGGCTTTGACAAAACCTGGTCGATTTTGATCGAATCTGGAGCATCCGGTAATACTGTCAGACGCTATTTTTTTATGGGGGTCACGTCAAGTTGAGGCACCAGAAGCGCACAAGAGTGATACGATCACTGTTCGAAGAGCAACATGGACTCTAGTAATCGCATCTAAATTTCACTCGAAATTGGGTGTGAAGCTTCTTGATTTTGATGAGTAAGAAGCGCTGTCTAGTCCTTGATTTGGACTCGAGTTATGGTCTCATCCTTGGCATGTATTCGCTTAAGCACCACGAGCCTTGGATCGACTAGAGGCTCTAAACTTTAGGCGCCACGCGCACTGCTCTTAGCGGACTCTGCAGAGTCATGAACCCACCTCTGCTAGGAATCAGAAGTGCTATTGGCGCAATCCACTGTCTGCGAATGTCAGTGTACTGGACACCAGAATGTCAGAGCTAGTTAATTCTGAAGATGTCAAAACATCAGCATGGAGCAGGCTCGATATGTGATAGTAAAGCGGCATGTACTCCCTAAGTGATAGCCGTTGTGAGAACAACGTGCTGAATGCTGAAATCATTGTTAACCAAGCGTCAATTGATAGAGGTTTGGACTCATTAGATGAGCGTAGAGTGGCACGTATGTACCCACTGAGTGACGTTGGCTGTGATTGAGACGCGCTGAATGTCAATATTAACGTTGTTGGTACAATACCGTGGCACCCCAAGCCCAGCTTAACGGGCGCGCATGAAGTGGTATGCATCCACATGACGACGACGGTACGTCCAATGACTAGTCATCGGATGTCGATAGTGAAATCTGCTCTAGCTTATGGCAAATTACGATTGACGATGACGTCGATCCGAAAGATACAAACCACATAGCGCGTGCTGTGACACAAAATGCTGATGGCTATCAGATGTACACTCTGATCAACGGATTGACTGGTGCATGATAGGTACGGATAGACTATAAAGACTATAATCTCGTTAGGTACTCTTTTAGAACTGGAGAAGTTGTCAGTCGATAAGTACGGTCACTGACTTAAGAATGGAGACCTTTCAGAGGTGAAGGTCATTCTACAAACATCGTATGGTTGGACGCTGCTTCAAATATTAATGAAATTGTTCTAGAGGACACAAAGTATCACTCATACCGCGTAGTGGGTCATCACTATTGAAAGACCCTCAAAATCCATTTTATTGCTTAGTCAAAGAATTTTTAGATGTGGTGTGCCACGAACAACCCTCTGTTCTATCTCATCTGCATCCGCTTTATTCGGATAGGTAAGCGAGAAGACTATCCTCAAAAAAAATCAGCTCACAAGCAACAGGTGTCAGACTTTTTCGTGTCTAGTGAGGTCAGTTTTCATAATTTTAGTTGCATGAATGACCGATCACTCATATTCGGAACAAGATCAAGACCATTCAATGCTCTCTGCATCCAGAAGAATCATCACTATGCGGCGTCTGTAACACGTCCACGAGGCAGACGATGCGTGATAGTTCGTCAAGTGCGCAGCATATGATAGTCTCGGGAGAGTTATTAAATGGCATCGCCGGCAAAACTTAAATCAAGCATGATCTTGATTTGAATCTTTTATCATGATCTATACTTAATTCCAACAGTCGCATACGGCTCGTCGCACAGATCTCTGTATCGATGAAGACTTGGACTGATACCTACCACTAACTCTATGGACGATTAGTTCAATGTCTTTGTCGGTTGTACTAATATAATTCAGCGAATATCTGAATGTCATACTGGTGATCGTTTCATATAAATTCCGAGCTTGTCCCTTGGCATTAGTTCTGCAGCATGAGGACCAAATTATTATATTGTCCTACCTGTTCACGAAGCGAGATCGTTAAGGTTATCATCGTCCAATCATAGAGGGAGCTACAGTAACAAAGATGACCTAGCGATTTGCAAGTTGGATCATTGGCTTCGTCCAAACTCCTACGCAACGGTAGATTGACGAAAGAGCTACGATATAAATAAATGACTAAGTCGCCGCTTCCATACCACATGACCGCTATGTAATAACTGCATAACTTAAGAGCATGTTTCGTCGTCGGCAGGTGGACGTTGGTCATTTCTCCGTCACCCCTGGTGTTTGATATGCTGCTTATAAGTGATCTGGATAAAGACCTATGCGAAAAATATCTTTGACTATATATGCTTAATCAGAGAAGAAGAGGTCGCTTGGATGCTTACTGAATAAGGTTTTTAGACCTGTTGAATATGAAAAAATTCAAGCGCGATATATCGAGGTAAAGAATATGCTTTTGATGTACTGCTACGAGTGGCATAGCATGCAAATTATACCACCACAAATTATCTTAATTTCTCAGGACACGACAAAGCTATCCTCGTTACATTTATACACGTGCAAGTACAAATAGAACATGAGGTGAGGTGAGCAAGGAATATGCTATGCTGTAGCACGTTATTTGCCAAGCTCGTCTTCGGGACACCGCAAATCTTTGTATTTGCGTAGTATTCATGAGATATAGTAGCTAATACCGAATACCGAATGATGTCGGCTCAGTTTCAGTTGCATGTTTCTGTAATTTTGGCAGCGCGCATATTAACCGGAAATCACTAATATTGTTTCGTGCTACCGTAAGATCTGCTGAAATCTCGGTAGGCTAAGATAGCGTCCTTCCGTTTGTAAATGAATCTTGCACTTGTGTATTGTCAGCTAATGTGACTGCACAAAAAATCTCCTCATAGTGTGCCACACATGAAGTACGGCAAGTCAGATTGTAACAAAGTTTTTGTTGACCGAGGCATTACATGTTGCATGCTGACGTGACGAAAATGGTGGCCGGAAGCAGTAGAAAACACACTAAAACGGGTAAGGTAGCAGGTGACGAGAAGATAACATTTGTGGAGACAGAACTGTTTTTTAAAGTAGTAAGATGACACGTTGTAACAAAGGAAAAGTTTGTACGAGAAAGCTGGAAGGAGCTGGACGCAGGGTCGGTTCAAAAACCACAGCGTTTAACTGTTGTAAAAGTTAGGCGAGGAAATATCACATGGCGTAAAGCATCAATATGTTCATTTTTCTTAATCGCGATAAGAGTGATCCTTCGTGAGCTTTCTTGGGCAATTAAAGAGTATCTATATCTTAAACCCACCAGCGACGTAAGGTAGCCTTGCCCGCAATTGCGTACGTACTGACTTATCTCCTTTTTATCCAGAGCTTTGGATTTACCGTCGTCCAGTGCGGAATGAAGGCAGATAAGCTGCGCTACATTCCTTGGCGATGTATTGAATGCAGTGCGATAGATGAATCTAGCAAACTAGGATGCTGTGGTAACCAGCAGTTAGGAGTGGAGATCAAGAGGATGGAAAGAGCACGGACCAGGACTTTGTTGCGTTCACCCGTATTTTTTTATGCGCTGTACTCGCCCACAAATTAGTATCAGCAAGTCGATCGCATCTCAGAAAGCGAATGGCGAATTACAAGAAAGTGGCATGTGCCTAGCATTCTGACTATAATGTGGCGGAGACGATGCGCTAGCCTTCTTGAATTCTGAGCACGTGACTGCACAATTACCGGGTTAGTTCACTAGTTACCCCAACTTAGCTGTACTGGACAGACTATAGGTGCGTCAATGCGCTCGAGTCTAGACGATGTTACTTTCATGACATTTGTATCGGACAATGTAAAGCTGAAACTGTGTGGATTTTGGGATGTCGGTCTCGGCATGAGCAAGCAAGCTAGAGCCCAAATAATTGATTGTAGTGGAAAGCTTTCTACTTGCGTGAGGTAGCGGCTTCGCACACTCTGATGACGCCGCTGATGAAGCGATGCGCGCAGTACGTGTACAGGCGACTAAAAAGACACAAGTTAGTACGTAGAATGCATGACAAGTCGTTGGGGAAAGTTTTTTTTCGCGTGCTACCAATTTTTTCATGGCCGTTGTTGAACACCGCGCGATTTTAAAGTGAATGAACGATATTCTGCCAGCCATCTCCCAACTCGCATAAGGGTATACATTAGTGTCAAGAAACGAAGCCACGTCCATCATCAGTCCTGCCTCGCGCTTGACCGAAGTTAGCGCAAGCACAAGTCGCGTCAATACCTTGCAGAGTTTCTGCTAACTCAGCTCTGTCACATGCCACAGCTACCTGCAAACACAGTGGAGTTTATCGCTCGCTTGATCTGTGGAAAGATTGGACTGTTGGTAGTCTTCGAGCAAGTTATCCGGTGCTTTACTTCCGTTTCACGCATCGGTTTAGCTCACAGCGCGAGTGCAGAAACCCCAACACTACCACATCCAAGACCGTTGTATGGTAGAGCTACTAAGCAATAAGTCGGTGGGGTAGCGATGCACGATACATCAGCGAAATCTGCCACTGCGTTTGCCAAGCAATTGATTGGTCTCGATTAAGCCGTGTTCGATCGCATTAGTTCGCAGATGTTGACTATTGTCACTAACATCGTGCGTGTATCAGTGCAATCATGACGCGGTCAAGAGGTCAGAACGACGTTTTTCGTTTCAACAGGCTGCGACTGCTTTCATACGCTAAATCCATCAGGACTTCTACTTATGATAGCGCACTCCTGTTCTTTTGTCGATATGTAAAACTTGTTCCTCGCTACTAGTCAACAGTTGCGCATGCCACATTTATGCGAGTTGTCCTGATACAAGGGACAAGTCGGAAGTGAGTTGGACACGGCGCCGTACGTACCAATGTCGTTGTTCTTCTGAGTACAGGGAGTTAGTACAGATCACAGAATGCTTCAACTCGAGCAGGTTTTCATGTACCAAAACCCATCCAGCACAGCACGTCGGTTCAAAATATAAACAATTGTATCCTTGCTTACGTCCTAGGCCAAGCTACTATCGCTCCGCTTTACCATGCAGAGAAGTTCCCAAAAGTGCCACGTGAGTTCTTGCTTTTCTTCTTACTTTCGATGGCAACAAGCGTCGCCGATTCCTGTGACCGTTTCTTCACGATAACGTCGGACTGGGTCTTCAAGTATTTTCCGACCTTTTCGCACTTGGCTGTTTCGCTTTTCGGGATATTCGCCATATCAACTTCCTCAACATTGTCGTATGCGACCCACTGCCCATCAACTTTCAACACGGCACCGTGCACCTCCGGTTTTGCCGCACGTGCAGATTTTTCCTTCGTGATTTGAACAACGTCTAGACCTCGTTCCTGAGCTTCTTCAAAATCCAGAAATGGATTCGAAAATACCTGGGCACTCTTGATGCGCACATCATCGATTGGACGATCCGCTGCATTAGTTTCAACACGCTCAATAACATCAAGCGCCTCCATCCCGCCAACGACTCGACCAAAAACTGCGTGCTTCTTGTCTAAATGCAGACATTCTGTGAACGTAATAAAAAACTGAGAGTTATTTGTGCCGGGTCCAGAGTTTGCCATGCTCAGCACACCTCGTTGGCTGTGAGACTTTATCAAGCAGACAGAAAGACGCCACGTGTAAGATTTAGCAATCAAGATACCCCGCCCCTCATTAGTTCTCCCCCCTTACCAGTCGGCTATCAATTTCATCATGAAATGGCCTCTTCCAAGCAGATTCACCACCTCGACCTGTCCCAGTTGGGTCTCCTCCTTGCATCATGAAACCTTTAATGACCCGGTGAAAAGTGACACCATCGTAGTACTTATTCTGGCATAGCGTCAAGAAATTGTCAGCCGTCTGCGGCACAATGTCACAATCCACTTCCAGGTTGATGTTGCCGAGGGTGGTGTCGAGTCGCACCAGGCCTTTTTTCTTCAGCTTTCGTACAGCCTGCCATCTCTGTTCAAGAAGCCCCAGATCTGAAACCAGCGCCATCGCATTCTTTGTCATGGGAGCTCTCGCGCTGGACGTAAACGAGCTCGAGCACTCGCCGACAGTAAAGTGTGAGTATTGCAATTTGTCTGGACCCGCCGTCTTTTCCGCCATGATATCTTGCTTTGGCAAGCTGCAGTGAGTCAGCGAAGCCACAATTTTGTCTCTCTCACTAACGCCATCTTCTCCTTTCTTGATCTTTTCCGACATCTCCTTCTGCTCTGCTTGCTTAGCGCTTAACTTGGATACATACGGAATCGTGTAAGTTATTACTATCAAATTTCGCCAAGAAAACACTTTTGCTTCATTACTGTACCAATTCGAGGATGCGATCCGTTGCAGCGTTTGTGCGAATAGCCCGTGTCGCACTGGATGTAGGGTCCTGCTTTACAATTGGTAGCGCGTAAATTTGGGACAATAGACCCCCCCCAACCCGCAACGAGACAGCAATCAAGCCTGGATAAGCACGACACGTACGCTTTCACTCGCTTTCGCAAGCCGCAGATGCTCAAAATTCTCGATTTCGCGGTTGGAAAGATCTTGCGGATCTTGTAAAATGATAACGTCCTTGCGCTTAAACGCTGCGCCCGAAATAAGGTCCTGTTGATCAAGATAGTCAGCGTTAGTACTACTGCTCGCAGAAACGTGTCAAGGCTCGACGTTCGCACCGTCCAATTTTTAGGTTTAATGTTCAGCTCTTCCACAGCCTCGTAGCACAACACATTGCCTGTCGTCGCAATTGCAGCAATCTTGGTGTTGTCCGTAAAGACCTTGTACGTTACAGGGCAAAAATGCTCTCCCTGTGAATTCTTGCTAAAGTGCAGCTGGATAAGCTCCTTCAGAGCCAGAGACTTGCCCGTCACCGGGTTCTACAGAGCACGTCACAGAAAAAAAGTCACGAGCTTCATGTTCTGAAAATACGTGAAAAAGTGCTTGCCAAAACGTACGAGTCCGTGTGTTTTAACGTACGGCACAACTGCCTCAAGATCGAACAGATGACCTTCCTTTGTACACACCGGATTCTAGTTTCGGTAAAACCAAAAAGTTACCAAAAAGTAAGTAGTAGCTCAAACGAAATGACCAATTTGAGAGCCTCAGTCGGATTATAGCGTACCGTAAAGGGGCGAAGCGTAATAGCACAGCAGTTAAACGGGAGACCTATAATACGAGTTTAGCGTCGTCTCCAAATGGATTAACTCAGGAGTTAAAGCGCATAAGGAGTGCGTAATTGCAGGACGTACGTTTGTAAGCGCGACGAATGACCTGCTTCTTGCCACCGTACAAGTACTTGTGCTCGGTCTGCGTGATGAACAGCCGGTCTTTACTGTGCCGGTTTTTGCCCATCGTACTAAACAACTCACGAACGATGCGAAATAGATGTCGATTTAATGTGGACTTACTTTGGCTTGGTTTTAGTGACATACTGCTGGTATTTTTGGCTGTAATGAGATAAGTTTTTGATTAGATTCACATTCCGCAATAACGCGCTGTAGCAAATCACTCCCTCACTATACTCTAATTCAAATAATCGCTATCGTAACACCCGCCCTTGTTCCTGCAAAAAACTTACCACGGACAACGTAGTTGAAAGCTATTCCATCATTGGAGTCACCCAAGTATACTGAGGGCCATAAGCAGACAATAGAGGACCGAAAGCAATCATTTCCGATCTTAGCCCTGCACGACAACAGTTGCAATAAATTCTGTAGCAAATATACGATGCTTAGTCACTTGCCGATAGACGACCGCGCGATACAATTGAGATGGCAAAGGCCATTGCACGCAATCACATTGACACGTCGTTGTCAATGGTACACGATGAGTCGATGCCGCTTCCATTGGAGGATGTATCAACAGCATCTTCAGATCGTTTGACACTGCACCGCAAGCACCAAGTTGGTGCTCGCCAAGTATTCTTGTTGCTGGACATCATTACTATACGGTTGATCGAGGTAACGATGATTATGCTGAACCATACACAGCTGCGCATGTTACATAGCGCTTTTGACGTAGTCTACAGCGTGCGTGGACCACCACGTCGATGGATGCCAGGTATTACAGCTCCAAGGCTCCTTCTTGTAAGTCATCCGCCTTCTACAAAATATATACACGGCTATCAGACATTTCAAGAAGTATCTTGATGTACCTCACCTACCACCATCATCATCCACTAAAGATGTCGCTCGAGCTCTGGTGAACGCCTCCTCGGTGATTCAGGAATTTGTGATGCGAGTCACGGTGTACACCATGTTTGGGATCTATCCCAACAGAAGTGCTTGGTTCAATCGCGACCCACATGTGCGTAATGCTGTCGAAATTGACCATACGAAGACATTCAGACTGCTGTCAAGACGCGCTGGCATTGCACCTAGTACGTTCGTTACCGTGAGTTTTCTTGTGGGTGCGTGGTTAGCTACCATCACATGTCATTTTGTCGCGCAAGATGGGACCACGTTGTCTCGTAGTAGAATGACTGGACGTAGGGCAGCCCACCAACACTCAGAACCAAAGTCGACCATGCTGAACACCGGTCGTAGCTGCTACTTCCACTGTACATGCATTACCGATTGTCTTGGTAGTGTAGGTCTGGAACAACTGCAACTCGACGAAGCCACAGTCCCGAGCCAAATCAAGAGACTTCGAGTGATGCCAACTTGCCCGATCCCCGAAACACGTTTCGATAAGAAGGATACAGTGTTCATTGCCAAGGGTGCGGCGACCGATGTAAAGAAAACTCGATCCCTTTGACGAAGAGACTTGACGCACTTAGCAGGACGCTCTAATCACGTCTGCGACACCTTTTGAGACAAGAGGTCCGACTCGCAGACGAGGAGGCTATCCAGCCAACGAGACAGACGAGAAGACGTTAGGAAGAACAAATAAGTTCAGCGTGCCCAATCTATTGGCTTTGTAAACAGGTGCTCGCTTCACAGCGAGCCAAAGGTCCTGCCTGTGTCAAGTACAAGCACGTGCGATGGCAAAGGGGCATTGTCCGTTACAAACGAGTTCCCCCCACGACTCAACCAGGGGGAAAAAGGCTCGGCCACTATTGCGTATATTTCGCAGGCAGGCAGGACAATGCTGCGTTGTATGAGGTGTTTTAGTCACCGAGGGGCTCAAGGCGACGTTCAAAAGGAAGACGACACGGCTACAGCTTTCGTCCCTGCAAGTAGCAGCACGAATGCGAACGGGCAGCTGGGCAAGGCATTGGAACCGAGGTTTGAAGACACTTATGACACGCTGTACCAGATTGGCGAGGGCAAGACTGGTCAAGTGTATATGGTGAAGAAGAAGAAGACGCAGCAGCAGCCTCAGCTTCGCACTGGAGCTGCTGAAACGCTGGCGGAAAAGCAGCTACGCGAGCGGGAGTGGGAAGACCTTGAGTTTGCGGCCAAGGTGGTGCAACGGGAGTATCTTTGTACACCGAACCGTGTGGAAGCGCTGCAGTGCGAGTTGACCATCTTGGCTCGGGTGAAGCACCCTGGTATTCTTCGGCTTCGGGAGGTTTTCCAAGACAACGACAAGGTTGTTATTGTAACAGACAGGGCCAAGGGCGGTGAACTGCTGGACGCCATTTGTCGACCCGAAGCTCCGCGACTGCGAGAGTGCGACGTCGCTGAGATCGTTCGGCAATTGCTCAGTGTCTTGGCGTACTTGCACTTGAACGGTATCACGCATCGAGATGTGAAGATTGAGAACATTTTGTGCAAGTCGAGGACATGGCAGGACGGCGTCGTGCTCATTGATTTTGGCTTGGCGCACATGGGCACGGTCGGTGGCGGTGCTGAGATGTCCGGGATGAACGGAACGCCGCATTACATGGCCCCTGAGATGTTTCGCAAGACTGGCTGCTACGACTGCGCGATTGATCTCTGGGCTCTTGGGGTCGTCACCTACATCCTCTTGTTCGGGCGATTCCCTTTTGACGCGAAGTTCCTGTCTCAAGTTGAAGACAAGATCAGTCAAGGCGAGTTTGAGTACCCAGCAGGGCTCACCTCGCAAGTATCTCCACAAGCCAAGAAGTTTATCGAGTATTTGCTTGTGCTGAATCCACGAGAGCGCCCTCCTGCGGCACTGGCGCTGCAACATCCATGGTTACAGGCGGATGCCGCACCGAGTACGTTCTTCACAGAGGAGCACATGGCTGCGTTAGCAAAATACTCCGAAGGTAAGAAAATGTTTATTCCGCCGGCCACGTCAACGGAATACTTGCCGCGTGATCCTGTTGCCAAGTAAAGAAGAATGGTACACGACGGTAAAGTGATGAATGAAGCAGCAGCACGTGAATAAATTGCTACTTCTGTTGATCGCAATATCCCTGTTGGCTGCAAGTGATGATTCAAGGGACTCACGTGAAGAAGCGCATGTAGCCTTGGAGATCAAAAGATGTGGATAATGGCGTAAAGCACAAGCCCCGTTGCTGCCATGAGAACGGGAGCGTCCATCGTGTGTGGCGCCGTTGCCTCTGCATAAGCCACGACAAATGGCAGGATGATCATGGAAAGCCAGAGCTGCATGGGCGTCTCAAAGTCCGCGTACTGCAATGCTGGAAAGACCATGCCCGAGAGGAAAACGCAAGCCGAGCCTTCGAAACTTCGTGTGTATTTGCGCTTGGAGAAGCACGTGTTTGTCGAGTACTTGTGTTTCCCGAATGCAATGCCAATAGGCTCTGCCAATCCGTCACCGATGCTCGTCACGAACACGAGAATGAAGACGAGGTTTGACTGCGTCGTGCGCTCAAAGAGCCAGCGAAAGAAGAGCAGCACGAAGAGACCGGGGAAGACGTTTCCGGCAACGATCCACTTGAGCGTATGCGGCCGATCTTCAGGTCGATCCAGAGAGTTAAACTGCAGCATAAAGAGCGTCGAGCGTTCTCGAATGGGTTTGATCAGGAGCAAGAAGCAACATAGCGTGACAAAGTCGCCCCATGCCAATGCGAGAGGTCCACTGCACTCTCGACACGTGTCTTCACTTGGTTTTACGACCAATGGCACGAGGTATGCCGCTAAGAGCTGGCATTTCCGCGTATAATTGACTTTAAAGGCCGAATTCCGTTCCGTGATAACGTAGCCGGCCTCATCCACAATACAGAAATAGCGGCAGAGACTCCCTCCCATCGTGGAGATGGTCAAAATGAGGCCCATTTTGAGGCCCAAATAGGTCCAAAAGTCTGCATTTGTCCATAATTCCGACTGCAAAAGCGACGTGAGACCTGCGAGGGCCACGCCGAAAAGCAGCATCCCAATGAAAAAGACAAAGTCAAAAGTCCGCGTCCAGCGCGTGTCGTAGCGACCAGCCACTTGACCAGCGTAAATGAGGTCGTTGGCGTCGCCGTCGTAGTCGTAACTCTCACGATCGTCTTCGAGGCCGATCGTCCCATAAGTCGGGACTTGTTTCGGGAGACGGAACTTCGGTCCTGATTTGGGACGCCAGAGCACGCGCAAGATCACGAGCAGAGCGAGGAACGACGTCAGAGGAAGTCCCACTAGTATTGAGTACTCGGTCGAGCTCAAGTGGTCGGACCAGACGGTGGTTCCTGGCCCTAAAACGGGCGCTTGCTCGTCAGTTGGGACCATTTTTCCAGGTCGCTCTAAGGATTTCGGACGGCGGATCTTTACTTGTGATGGAAGTGGTGGACCGTGGACGGTGGTGGAGCGTAGAAAGTGGACGCTATTAGGTGAACGCGGTTACGCACTCGAATGGAAAAATCAGGTGGCATACTTCACGCAAGACAAAACGGTCGACAAGTGGACAGATGCTGGCAGCAGCTCTGGGGTTTCGATCGCACGTCTAGCGCTGCATCACATGTGAGGGGATCATGTGTTTGCATTATAAAACTCGTTTGCTGGTGGATTGTTGGTACGCAAGGATTGACAGTAGTAATGCAAAAATCAACATTATGCACTTGTTACGTCGTACGCTCGACGCAGAGTCTTGACCGCTTCTTCCCATAAACTATCGTTAGACGCGCTCTTGTCGTCGTGGATCACGAACGTATGGAGCTTGATGTTTCGAAGCAATTCACGATCTAAATGAATAGCTGATGCTGCCTCTTTTGCCACAAAAATCACGTGCTGGACCTTGAAATTAGCGTACGGCTGGAACGACAGATCTTCTGCGAGGATCGACGATAACTTGCCGCTCTTGTAACCTGTCAGCACAGTCTTGTTAACATCCTTAAACCGCTCCAGCGGCGTCTTCACCAGTCCCGTGTTCTTGTACACGAGCTCGGGTTTCTTGGCAGAACCCACGCCAAGTCTGCTCTTTGGCTTGACCATCTCTAGTCGAATGCTCAGTTTCTTCTTCATTAGCTTGAATATCGACCTCGCGTCAACGAGAAGCAGCACTTTTGTCTTCTGTCGACCGTCTTGACGCCGGATCTCCGCGTGCTTTGCAGCCGCTTGAGCCACTGCGTCTTCGAGGGACTTGCACACTCGCAATGGCGTCTTGGGCAATGCAAAAAGACGCGCAGTTTCATCCGTGTCCGAGTCTTTATCACTCGATGCCACAAATTCGAGCTGTTCTGCCTCTGCCTCTTCAGAGCAAAAATCAGGGTCTTGTTCGACAACCTCAATGTTGTCGGTAACATCTTCGTCTTGGTGCTTGTCAATAGCAAATTGCCGCTGTTTTTTCTCGGTTTTCTTCTGCCGTTTCGAGCGCAAAACACTCGTCGTCACTGTCTCCACAGACGGCTTTTTCCATCGTGGCTCCCGTGAGCTCGGAGGCTGGAACAACCGACCCGAATCGTCTTCGAACGTCAAGCCGTCGTTCAGGTGACGCTTACGCGTTTTCCTGCGTGTAGCCAACGTCTTGAGCTTCTTCTGCTTGTAGCTGCTCGACATGATGAACTTGGTACGATCGCGTCCTGTTTTTGGTTGGTGATGTTACGATTGACTGGCGCTCCACCACCAGTCGCAGTCACACATGGCAGAAGATGGGTACACTTCATTCAGATGTGGTGGACATCAAAAGGGACGATCGAAACGGCGGTTTTAGGTCCGAGCTTTGGCGTAGCTTGATTGTGACTGGTGCGACTCGCAGTGCAAGTGGTTGCCTTCCAGTCATTTTGTAGTGCGATAGACCTCAGAGTCCAATTTGCATCACCTTCGCCATGACTTCGTCCGATTATGAACGAACGAACGCAAGCAACTGGAACTGCATCACTCTACGACCGTCCCATAACAAGGCGTCGGGTCCGACTTACTTACTGTGATCTTGCTTGGACCTTCGTAGCAGATAAAGGCACCCAACACGGGTCTTGGCACCAAGTCGCAGCAATTAGATCGTGTATACACGATACCGTGTCTTAACATAGCATCGTTGCGATTCAACCTTTAAAAAGCAAAGCACAACTACTGCCGTGCTTCAGCAGATAGAACACAATGCAGTCTTCAATTCAAACTTAATTAGTCGCTATCAGTGTGAGCAACGATTCTTCCATGGTGGAGGTACACTGCTTGGTCAAAGTAACACGTTATAGCTGCCCAAAGGAGTGCTTAACTCCACGTGATTCTAAAGCTAGAGTCGATAGCCTGCTTGACACCCGAGAGGCTGATCTCGAGGCACTGCGTAGTCGAATCGTACTTGGAGATGGAACCGAGAGACACACGTGACGGTGAAGACGTCACGCCAAGCACCGTGACTTTGTCCACACGACTAGTGTGAGCACCAATGTAGTCGTTTCGAGTAACAGTAGACGTGAAAGTACCAACTGTTGCAGAGAACTGGACAATCGTGGCGTCCGGGTTGCTGATAGTCTCCCCATCGTCCAAGTACAAGTCACCGCTGGCACTTCCGTTTGAATCCAGAGCGACAAGGATGTCGAAAGGTGTGAGACGAGCTGCTGCAGAAGTGAGGGCTGGCTGGTGCATTGGCAGAATTGATCCACCTCGAATATGCACCGGCATATCGTACAAAGTCACCTTCGACGTGAATGACGCTCCTGAGCTGGAAATCTTGGAACAGTCGAATATGTTGAACCAGGTGCCCGCTGGAAAGTACCCGGTCACGGACGTGACTCCTTGAGTCACCACAGGTGTCACCAGCAGCGCGTCACCAAACATGAATTGATGGTCAATTTCGTGCGTGGCGACGTCGGCGGGAAACTCCATAAACAGTGGGCGAGCAATCGGCAAGCCATCTACGTGCGCGTGATATCCGAGCGTATAGATGTACGGCAGGAGTTGGTACCGCATGCCAATGAACTTTCGCCCCACTTTCGTCACCTCTGGCCAGATATAAGTCTCTTGAGAAGGTGCATCGATGTTGTTGTGGTTGCGAGCAAAGGGGTAGAACGAGCCTAGAGCCGTCCATCGCGCACATAGCTCCATACTGGAGACACCGAAGAAGCCACAAATGTCGGCACCGGTCATGGGAATGCCAAAGAGCCCGAATTTCAAAACAGTGATGATCGACCAGCGGAGATCTTTCCAAGTAGCAGCATTGTCGCCAGTCCAGTGAGCAACGTGGACGCCACTGCCTGGGAATGTCGAACGGGAGAGCACGAAGGACCTTTTGATGGTCAATTCTTCCTGGATGCTGTTGGTCGCGATGGATTCAGTCATGCCGTACAAATTGTGAGCATCGTACTGGAGTACATTACCAAAATGCAGTGCGCTGGTCGAGATGCCCTTGTTGTGGATAGCTTCCCGGCTATTGACATTGTTAATTTTGAAGGGTGGATTGTCGTACTTGTTGCCATCATTCGAGCAGCTCAGGCAGCACGTTGTGAGGCTACTTGTGTTGGGACACGCAACACTTGCTTGACGCACACAAGTTGTTCCAGGGCAAAAGTTGGCCAGCTCATTCATGTCGATCCAAAGACCATCGAATGCTAGGCTCTTGTACATGAGCTGAATCTGTTCGCCCCAGAACGACTTCGCACTCGGGTGGAAGAAATCAGGGAACACTGTCGGGCCTGGCCAGACCTGACCCAAGTATGGCTTGCCACTTGTGTCCTTGATAAAGATATCCATGGCCAAACCTCTGGTGTACGCATAGTCATCAGTATCGTCAGGAATCCCAGGGTCGATAATCGGTACAAACTTTTGTCCACTGGAGTGGATCTCATCCAAGAAATCGGCCACCTCGTCTTGTGAGAAATTGATCGGGTCCGGCTTAAAATCGTGGAAGTCCTTCATGTAGTCAATGTCGGCCCAAATCACGTCGAGCGGGAGATCGTTATGAGCGTACTTTTGTACGACATTGCGCAGTTCGTCAACGGATTCGTATCCCCAGCGGCACTGGTGAAATCCGTACGACCAGTACGGCATGAGTTTTGGACGTCCGATGAGCTTCGTATACTGCGACACAACGTTTGCCGGCGTGGGTCCAACAACGATATTGAAGTCAAGCACGCCCCCAATCGTTTGGTAAACGAGGTGTCCGCTGTCCATAGTGACATCCATTCCATTGCTATTGAGCAGCAAAACACCGTAAGCTTGACCAGAGCCGTCGAGTCCGAGGAAAAACGGGTGTGACCCGTATGTGTTGACCTTCGCCGTACTCGACGGTTGGTCGCGAGCCCACAGCGTTTGTTTGTCTCCTGGAACCATCTCTAAGTTGTCGCGTGTGCTTTCACCAATACCATAGACACTGACGTCGCTACTCAGCACTGTCGATATCTGCAGATACTGATCTTTCACGACCAGCGGGGTACCAGACGAATCGAAGAGCGTAGAGCCGTCCGACTCGCGCACGACCTTGAACGTGAACGGGTTGTGCGTGTAGCTGAATGAGTACATTGGGTCCGCATGCGATGTTGTTTTCGTGGTGTTTATCCCCAAAGTACCGCTTGTGAAGAGGCTTGGTGGCACTTCCCAACGCTTGGTGTTCTTGTCCACGATCTTCACACGAACACTGTCGCTTTCCGTCTTCGTCACCGTGACCACAAGCGCTGCCAGGTCTGAGCCGTAAGGCGTAAAGGTGAAGGTTGGATTCAAAGCGAGGTGAAGGGTGAGAACGCCGTTTGACTCACTAGTGGACGTCACGGAATATCCAGAACCATTGACGTAGCTCTGGAGTGTTGCTCTCGTTGTCACTGTGTGCCTGTTCTGTTTGATGAGAGCCCTTGCTGGGTAGTTTGCCAGCAGACTGGAAACCAGTGCAACGCAGGTAAAGAATGAGACCGTGCGTTGCAGCCGCAAAGCTTTGAACAGTGCCATCCCTATGTTGTCAGCAGTTTGGATAGGAGGCGGCAAAATTCAAAGTGAGTGAATCCAAGGTGCTGATGAAGCAGTTGAGTGTGAGGAGGTCTGGTTTACTACTGCTGGAAAAGTGTGCTATGGTCCATTCGTGGTCACCAAGCTACCGACATGATATTTGTCATGTTCAAGGAGGCGACTGTTCCACTTGAAGTTGGTTGCATCCCGTGCGATGATCATTTAAATTCGGTGGTTGGGATGCAATGACTGCAGCCGCACGGCGCTTCTGCACTCGCAGTAGGAATCGCGATTAGAAAGTGTGACCGATGGTTAACTGATCCCTCCCACTATCAGCTGCTTGACGAGAGATCCAGTCTTACGAAAATAGATTGGCCAGGGCTCCGTCCCGCAACGTCCCGTCCCGCGGATCCCGTATCCGATCCCGCATTATATATCTATCTTACTCTATTACGTCGAGATTCTACCAATTTAGTGCTCAATGCGAGCCTATTGGGTAAAGCTATTAGTGACAGTGCGCCAGGTTTAAAATTATGCAGAACTTCGTTCACTTCTATGGACTAAGTTACTCATTGCGATCCCTAAGGGTGAAGCTTTTAGCGACTGTACGCATGGTGAATGTCGACCTTTTTATTGTACTTTTTTGTCTATCTGTCTGTAAGTGACGCGTGGAGTACCTTAAACGTCGTACCAAGTGCGATTTAGCATTTATTTCCTCTTCATTGTTCACAGGCGTATCGCGAGCTCTAATGGTGATTTTACTGGTTACTGAGCGCAAGATACGCGAACATACAGAACTTGATTTAGATCCCCAAACTGGAATACATTACTTTAAAGGGCGAGGTTCAGATTTTGCTCCCATATCTTCTATGTACATTGTCAGATTCAGTATCATTGACGTTGTTTTGACCTTTTTGCCAGGTCGTGCATTGTAAATGCTTGTGAAGATAGTTTGGCTGCCCCCAGCAACGACAGATGTACACATTTAAACCACTGAGATTTTGCGTTATCTATGTCTGGTTAAAGCGAGATCTTCTGATAGTAATTCGATTGCTCAGAAGCCTCGTCAAGAGGTTTATTCATTCAACCAAATGTCAAATCCGCTTTAAAGCAATCGCACAGCTTAAAATTTTCACCAAGATTATGCTTCAAGACGTCTCTGCTCGCTGGAACTCAACTTCATTGGTGTTCGTGCGTACGGTCAATCTCCGCAGTTCTGTTCTACCACGTTTGAGAAGAGCTTCACTTTCATGCGCATCAGCGAAACCGATTACGATCTAGTGAGACAGACTGTAACGGGGCACCCTTTGTTTGGGGTGCCACGAAACTTTACGTACACTAGTACGTGCTGAGGAAGCTAATCTACTCAAACAGCTAGTTTAAGTAAACGGTAAAAAGAGAAGTGTATTTAATATAGTTAAGCTATTAATAAAACTTCAGCCTTTATATAACTATAATAAAGAACATTGTTGTTTGACGACAACATGCTCATTACTCATCACACGCGTCTAGCGACGATTGGTGGTAACCTATGGTTAATATGCATTTATCAACCAATCTTTAAGCAGCGCATGAACATTATCCTACAAGGGGATAATCATCCTTCAATATTATCGATCCTGGATAATATTGGCAGAAGATTGACATCCTAGACAATTTTCAATTGGCACCGTTTAATGTCAATTTCATGTAACAGGCTACCCGTTACATCACCCCCCCCCTTAACCATCAATCACCCGTTGATTATATCAAATCGATCGGGGACAGGGTGATCGCCGTTAGATCACTCTGGAAAAGGAGCACTTGTTGGTCAAATTCCAACTCATGTGCCAATGCATCGTATGTCGTCAAAGTCCATGCGGTGTGCTACCAAAGCAGCAAGAAAGGCGGTTGCTCGCATGCGCGCAGCCGAAAAGAGTACTTCGCTTGATTCAGCAGCAGGTGGTCCTTCGCCTGCTGTTGCAAGTGGGCTACAGGCAGTTTTGTTGCGACTATTCCATGTGGTGAGTCACCACGCGCGACAAATGCATCTGCTGCGTCTGCAGCAGTGTAACGGGGTGAATCGTTACATAACAATTTATAAGAAATTGTTAATAGAATATAACTATAAGAGTTATATTCTCAGAATATTGTCATAAGGACAATATTCTGTAGCACTTCCAAGTAGTTCCTAATTGGTTGATATAGGCCATTATATCAACCAACGAAGACGCGCCACGACAGACGCACGCAATGAGTGGTGAGCAGATAACTGATTTACACATTTGTATTTAGACATAGTTAGATGAAGATAAATAGTGATTTATTGCAGACATTAACTATTATAAATACAGTTCTACTTTTACTCTAACCAAGTACTCGCTTCTTCTTACCGTCTTCCTCTGCACGTACGAGTGTACGTGAAGTTACGAGGCACCGCCTTATTCTGTTATCAGAATAAGTAGCTTGTACTGTCACCAGTACAAGCTTCAGGGTGCCCCGTTACACCTGGTAGCACTTCGTAGTCCGTCCAAGGACCGCGTTCACATCCAACATGAATATGTTGGATGATGAAGATGACCAAAGCTTTCACGCTACGCGTGACGGCTACTCCCATTTGAGCGATGTCGAATGGGATGCGGTTGAACGAATGGGTTCGACCATGGGCATCCATGCTGTTAGCGTCATGCTAGAGGCTCTCAATAGAGATGCCCAACATGCTACTATCGCCAAGTTCATTCAAAATGAACTTGACGCAGAACGCGAGAAAGTAGCCTTGCTTCACCAACAAGGTTCTCAACAAGCAGAGTTGTTGAGAGAACAAGGTGCTCAACAGTTTGAACTGTTGAGACAGCAGCAGGCTGCTGCTGGCGGGTCGATGCACTCGCGTCGGCCCGAGACTTTGAAGATTGACATCTCAAAGTATAGGGGGGTCGAAGAAGACTCCCTCTTGAGATGGTTCGTCGAATTGGATGACGCCATAAGGGCGCGTCGCATCGACGACGGGGATATGCAAGTTGCATTTGCCCAGTCAAATCTGGCAGGACGTGCCAAGACTTGGGCACTGGGGCTCAAGCTGCACGACCCATACGCGTTTGGGTCGTTGGAAGTCTTCAAGTCGCGGCTCAGACAAACGTTTGAACCGCCTAGAGCTGAGTTCAGAGCTCGAACCGAACTCTTGAAGCTCAAGCAGGGTAAGCGTGATGTGCACGCTTACGCTCAACATATACGACATCTCACGAGTTGTATAAGTTCCAATCCGGTGGATGAACACACGTTGGTTTCGGTGTTCATGCAGGGTCTTGCGGATGGTCCCGTCAAGACTCACCTGTTCCGGCTTGAACTAGATTCACTAGAACAAGCCATTTCAATTGCGGAGCAGGAAGACTTCAGTCTGAGACAGGCTCGCGCCAGCTCGACATCATATCGTCAACCGAGACGATATGACAACGGAGGTCCAGAGCCGATGGAACTCTGTTATGTAGAGAGCGAGAAGGCTCGCTCTACAGGCTACAAGAAGTTGCAGAGATGCAACAGATGTCAAAAGACAGGACACTACGCTTACGAGTGTAGTGCCCCTCGTCCAGTGTCTCGCGACACTGGGCGTAGTGACCGTCCACCCATGAGAAAGGGGCAGGGACGAGGGTCCGCAGTTGGTGCAAAGACGCAACAACGGGATGGACCGTCAAAAAACGGACAGGATCAGTAGGTGCGGAGCACCCTACTGATCCAGCAACGTCAAGAGAATTTGTAGGCCTCTTGATGAAGGTTGCTCCCAACACACAGACATTGTGCGTTGCTGCTCTAGGTAATGAGATCTCACTCATTACCTTGAAACTCGAAGTGACGAATAAGTTGTCCCTTCGAGCTCTAGTCGATTGTGGGGCGTCCAACAATTTTGTGCGACGCCAATCGCTAGAAGATGGTCACTTTAAATTCAGTGAATGTGACACACCTCCTACGAGGATGACGGTACGTCTTGCGACAGGCGCATCCGTAACCGTCATGAAGCGTATAGTGAAGATTCACTATACGCTAGAAGATACCCAATACGACGATGACTTTATCGTATTGGATTTGGATGACAAATTTGATGTCATCCTTGGAATACCGTGGCTCAGAAGGTACGAACCACGGGTAAACTGGCAACATCGGACAGTAACGATGCCTGCCGCTTGTTCATCAGATGGCCATCTGATGAACGTTTTGGAGCGTCCACAAGCGTGTGGATGTACTACGAGTGAGTGCGATGGCCTCACTTGTGGTACGGTCGTTAGTACGACTGCACAAAACCTTAGTGTACCAAACGGTTACACTTCGGAGCAAAGTTCCGGCGGCTGTGAGGATACACAGGCTGCGCCGAAGGTCCACCACTCGAATAAGTCGGGTGGACTGGGACAAAGATGTATCCCTAGAGGGGAACATCTAGAAGAGAAACAATCGATCGCTCAGGTTAAGCGAAACGATAATCCTAGATCGACTGGAGAGTCTTTCGTAGAGGATCTCGCTGTGGTTGCGCAACCCCAGCTAGAGGAAGTAAAGGGAATAAGTCCCAAGATTACAAATACGGCGGAAATAAGTTCCCCGAAACCCGCGGGAATAAGTCCCCGGGAAGACGAAGGAATAAGTCCTTCGAAGCCTGAGGGAATAAGTCCCCAGGAAATGACAGAGACATTGAATGTCATAGTCAATAACGGATCATGTGTAGGCGCTTATACACTTGATCTGATTGCGCCTCCGAAGTTAACTTCGGAGATCACTCAGTTGCCAACGCTCGAACATAAAAGGTTCTTGCGTGATCTGCGTAGTGGCAAATTCAAGCAGATCTGCATACTCGTCGCTGACGACGAGTATGTAACCGACATAAGGTCAGCAACAGTGTTTACTGAGAACGAGAGAGTTCTCAGTAGTTCATCTATGGACGAGAGCGTCCTAGATGAAAAGACACGAATTGAGCGATATGAGTCCCAATCATGGGAATCGCTCAAGGAAAATCCTCTCTATGAAGATTTGGTTGAATTCAA